CTCGAACATATCTGGAAAGACGTTGCTCTCTAAAGTCCTTTCAATTTCCAGCCCCAAGCCAAAAGCAAGGGTATTGAAAAAGCCGGAGGTCGGGCGTGTTGTCGTTCACGCTAATCTAAAGCTGATTGAAAGAGTAAATATCTTCAAAGATGATACTGCTGGAAGAAAATCCATGGTAAGTACTTCTTTGTGAAAACCAAAATGGCGCTTTCGTGGCTACCGACCAGTGAAGATAAAGTTACGAGACTTGATCCATCATGTAGGTCTTTGTTCCGCTCAAGCTATCTTAAGATCGCATCCATTTTCAGAGAGGCAATTGCAAGAACCAATCATGTGCTATATATTTATTAATAGCTAGCAATCACTCTCCGTGGGCGTTTAGGAACATTTACCTCGATCAAGGGAGAGCCCTTGGAGTGAGGCTTATTTGACGAATACATTATTTCTCCCTTCATATATTACAGGATGCTCTACATAAAGACCTTTCTCATGCTTATTTCTTGAACTTTTCTTAAAGTGTGAAATTAATCTTGTTCTGATTACTTTTTCTATCAACCAATCTTGCGCAAGGATCTTGAATGTCTTACAAAAAATTGGCAAGTAGTACACCCTGTGTCACTTACCTTGGACTTACAATTGCAATGCATGACATGTAGAAATGAGTATAAGCTTCACGTCACCTCTCGCTGTTACAGGGTTATGTTACAGCTTGGTGCGAGGAAGGAGGTGTTCTCAATGTGGTGTTGCTAAAGTACTTTGGAAAAGAAATGAAGGAGGACTGGAATCGGGAAGTGAGTGTAGTGCAGAGCCTCTCCTGTGACGAGCAGCCTCTGTCCAATGTGTTACACTATCGATGGCACAACAAAAGTAAGTGACCCTAATCAGTTTTTTCAATTTAACCATCAGTTTTTAGAATTGCCATAAATTTGTTGTACCATTTTTAAATCCTAGGTTACTTACTGCTCTATATTCCATAGAAGTAGTTTTTCACTTTTGTTGTTGTTGGAAAATCAGGATCTGTGACATTCACAATGCCACAGTAGGGACCATTTTTTATCGATTTCATAGGTGCTGTGCTGAACCTCTGAAGCTATTTTTTCGTTTATTTCTTTAGCTAGCGACCTGAATATCGAGCAAGGCAAGACGAAGATCAATGCTTTACGAGGAAAAAGTTTGTAAGTTGTTAATGAATTAGAGCTTTATTACCAAACATATTGAAATCACCATACATTTGATAACAAGTAAAATTACGGATTTTGAATCCTGCGTTTCCATTTTTTCTAAAAGCCTGATATGTTTCGACTATGTGTCGAGTTCAACTCTGGAAGATTTGATTTGTGAGAAAGGAACTGTCATCGACTTCGAGTCAATTTGTGCGGTAGCTTGTGACGTCTTAGGTGCAATAGAAGGACTACAGGGACTTGGAATACTTCATAATAACATCACAACACGCAACATTCTGATCAGCCAGTGCCCTAGGGTAAGTGAAGTGGTTAAATTATTCACTACTCTCAATCTCTAAGTTAAGGAATCAGTTAAAAAAAATAACCTACTAGCGTGTTGCGTGACCGGCAGTTCGCATATGTACATATATCCTATTATATGTTTGCTACTGCAGACTTTGTCCTTCATCGAAAAGTCGACAATTATATTGTTCCTTATTCAAAGGTTGCTTCACTTTGAAAGTCCTCGTAGTTTAACACAAACGTTTCTTCGAGCTTTTGGGGATATTTCGTGAGAACAAAGTACATTTCACTTGCATTGCTTTTTCGCAGTACTATATGGCATATCTCTGATTGAATAGAAATCGACATGAAATGGTCCAGTGCGGAAAATGTTTTTGGTTTTAACAAAGAGTTAGAATAATACAATGGAGCGTGCGTTGTTCCTAGGTCGAGTCCTTCCCTGATCAGTAAATGGGTTTCGTGTTTCCGGATAGTCCCTTGTTCTACACTTAGACCAGGGTTGTAAATTGCCAACTGATTTGCCTTCTGCCCGTTGAGGTTTTCCATCAAGTTCCTTGTGATGTCTATTATAAGTTTTTTGATATTTGAACGCATGTTTAATTACAGAGACGTAAAGAAAACCACTGAGTCAGTCATAACTCTGCCACCCTTCTACGCCCATTTATTGTTGTTGTTTTGAGTTGGAGATAAGTTATGGTTATTACCTCCATGCATTTTCTTTTCATAGATTCCTCCAATCAAAGCAGTCTTAGGTGGATTCTCTCGTGCATCCAAGGTGAATGGAGAAAGCGCGTTCACAAACCAAGCTCTTGATGAACAGAGTTGTTTTGGTAGCCATCTTGAGCAGTTTGGACAGTTGTTGGCCACACTACTAGGACACTGTCACGGCTCTTGTGAACAGTTAAAGGTGAACATCGATAAGTTTTATTAAGTTAAATTTTTACTCCTTGGACAGTGATAAAGATACACAGTGACTCTGGCATATATATTATCTTTTTTCCAATAGCTACATGAAATTATGAATCTCTGCTTTGAGGAAACACCAGAGAAGAGGCCTACAGCGTCTAGCCTGCGAGAACTCTTGGAAGAGGTCTGGTGCACAAAGGGTTTCAGTGATTCATTTGTTTGATCTACCATACGGACAAAAACACTAAATAGCTATATAATACATATATTGGCTGAGCTTTTGAAAAATCAAACAATGTTTGCCCATCCCTGCAGCATGAAGGGTACAAGCCTTATCCAAAAGCCATGTTTATCTCGTCAATAACGGTAGAATGCACTACAACAAAGCGCATTAGTAATTCTGCTTTGTAAATAGTTAAACCTTTGTAGAGCATATTGGTACGGAATGTGTATTCTGTTAGTGAAAAAAAAAGTATTCTGAAAATGCTCATTTGCTCAAGAACCATATTGTAATCTGCACCCACGGTGTTACTTTTAATCGTTCTTGTTGAATAAGATTGGTGAATAAAACTAGCACTTGCACACCTGATTTAGTTCAAAGAAAACACACTGCCTTCTACATTCCTCCAAATGAATTTAACACCTCTATGTATTAACTTTTGATTATGCAGTGAACCTTAAAAAAGTTTGAAAGATTGCTGAAACTAAGGTAATGCGTTTCTAATTTAGGTTAATTGGACGGTACGTAATACTTTCATATTTTGAGAGCAAAATAATTCCCTTAGACATATTTACAACCAAGATTGTTACTCTCACGTGGCGTCTGTGTATTCTCAGGACCTCTACTGAACATTCGTTAACTCCAATACAAACGAAAAAGACCCACAATGTCCAATTTTCAGCTCTCGTAATGCTCCCATCGACACTTAGTTAACAACAACATCCAGCGGAAGCTTTTAATGCTTTTAATGTCCGCAACCATTCTTTACAGTTCGTTCACACACCAAGAACAAAGGAACACATTACTCGTGGTTGCTTAATTATGGCCTTGTTCTGCCCCTTTGAAGTTGCTTTGCGGTCCGATTCAAAAGTTTTCTCTCTTTCCCCAGCGAATATAACCGAACTTTATTCATCACAATTTCGTTGGTTTTACAGTAGATTCCCAAGTAAAAATAGAAGCAGATTCAACCACAAGATGAAGCAGTTTTAGGGAAGAAGGCCCACTTGTTTCACCGTTATTGAGCGTATGCACTACTTGTCTGTTATTGATTGGGATTATGCTAATTTTACTCCACGAGAAGTGGTTCGGTACAAATTGCCTGCTTGTGCCTGTGATAATTGCGTGATCAGTTGGAGGGAGTTTTAAAAACCAAATTTAAAACGGTATCTTGAATTGGTCAGGTCGCAGCAAGTTGTCTTATCAATGATGAATTGGATTTTTCTTTAATTCTAATTAGGTGATTTATTTGTAAGACTCTTTTATTCAGCTGCACATTGTCTCTGCAGTCTAACATCATTGACACTGAAGGACATGCAGACAATCTTAGCGGTTTAACCTTAGTTGACCACAAAAACGTTGCACTGAAAATAAGTTTTTTTTTCTGGTTTAATAAATATTCCGTTAGGCAACATTAACAACTTACAAGTCAAGTCGAGTGTATCTTGAGAGAAATAAAGATGAAAATTTATTAAAAACTTGCTAGGCTGGAAGAAAGCCGAGACAAAGAAATATAAACAGGTAACAATAAAAACTCAGCGCAGATTTCCCTTAAGTTTAATACTGGTGACATTAAATTGGCTTACGGTAATTGGTAAAAGGTGAGTTATATCACCATGACAACTTATTTTTCGATTACAACTCATGGTTTGAATTAGGTGTGCTTTCATTAGTTTCCTCCGATGACAATAGCTCGTTTACAAAGATTGATTTGAGAACATTGAGCTGTTTTCCGGCTGACAGTTTAATTGAAAACTCCTAAGAAAAAAAAAAAGATTTTTAGGAAATTTCAACTCGTATGGCAACTAGTTTCAAGATGTTTCCTTAGAGTTCAAAGCTGAATTCAATTTCTTTACTTGAAAAATATTTCAGTTATATTACGACGTAGGTCGTTCTAGTAATTTCAGGAAGGCCTTAAAAGCTGTAGAATTCAATTTTTTTTCTCATGGAGAGGGTTCCTCGCACGCTCCACCAGCGAACGGTTGTCATACAAACGGAATCGATCGCAATATCATCACTTTTAGACAACCATATGAAGCTAGGATCTTCAAGTCCTAGTAGTTTTAGTTCTTAATTTTTAACTACTCGAACCTAAGTACTAAAATCAAATCAGACATTCCATAAAACTCTGAAGTTGTGTTGTCTTTAAAATACTTTAGCTCTTCGAGGATCTTCAAATTTCTACTCTAAAAGGTAAAATAATAATCCAAACGACCATTTTATTCTCATCTTGATGAGTGGGGTTTGGAAGGCAAGTCTTGATTTCTTCCTCCTTTTACCAATTCAAGCAATCAACTGAATTTTATCCAAGAGCAGAAGTTGGTGTCAAGATTTTAAAGCCAATGACACAAACCGATCTGTCTGCCAATCAGGTAGTTCAAGCTATTTCGTCACGCAGCTAAATTAATTCAACGAACCTAATGTCAGAAAGAATAGCATGCGGTGTTAATTTCGCTAATTGTCGCAGTTTTGAGATTTTCATCGACTGAATAACGCGGGCTGGGTGTATTTGAAATGAATAGCATTTCTGCTGACGTTTTTGGACGGATAATTCTGTCGGCTTACCTGTCTTTTCCTCGAATGTTCTCCGGCAACTACACGCTCGCGGAGGTTCTTTACGTACTTCGCCATAATTCAACCACTCTGTGGTACATCGCCAATGCGACTGACTTGGATGGAAATGTGGTAGAGCGGACTGTTGACCTGTACTTGTGGGTAGATGAGTATATCTTGCAGGCCACTGAAGAGCCACCAACGAGCAACACGACCGCCAACGCGTAAGTGTCACGCCGTGTTCGTAAACTATATCTGTTATAGCTCTAGAGTGAATGTTTACCTTTTTATGGGAAGCTCTCGGTAAGATTTTAAAAAGGATGGCTTTTCCTTACCTTTGTATTGAAATTTTCAACGGTCGGAACTCATTCACATTGAATTTGTAGCGAAATGTATGCCCGGCCCTCCAAATACACCCTTGAGCATTGAAGTTCGTGATTTTGAAACTTTTACAATCATATTTCTTTCGACCATCACTCCTCGAGGTGAATTTTAAACAAGTAAATTATGTTGTTAGACTTCGCCCAAATTATTATCCTCTTAAAATAGCGTTTCCTTAAGTGTCATTGGTATTGCTCAACAGGAAAATTAGTTGTTAAATTGCTGGCGAGACGGCTTATTTTGACGATCGAAGCAATATTTTCGAGTGATTGTAAACACACTAACGTGCGCTTAATATCCAATGTTCTGTGAAGCGTGACAGAGTTCTAGAGCGAGCGTGCTCTTCGTTTCACGAATTTGCTCTCTAAGTGGCGACGGAAATCATTTTGGCGGCTTTATTTTGTGATAAGCTGTTGCAGTTGCCTCGCATTGTAGCTTTAAACCATTTATGTACGGCTCACGTTATGACACTGTAAATGTATTCAGCTTACGATCGAATATTTTGTCTCCTTGGCCTGGCGCTGTGAGAATGAAATGCAGCTGCAAACCAAACGGTTGTCGCAAACGCTACCCATATCCTCGACCTTTATTTCGAAACTAAATATTCATTAAAATACAGGCGTCGAGGACATATTTATTGCCTTGATCGATTAGAAATTCGAATTAGCTGCTTGCTAAGGGTACATTTACATTCTTTACACAGATACTCACGTTGTCACAATATGCATAGGATATGGCATTTGCAAATATTATGCTTCAGAAAGCCCGACAGTATAAGTATTGGAGAAAAATGTGACAAGATTCGCATTAACAGTCTTCATCCTTGGAGAAGTATTAAAATCCAGTTACAAAATTATAAAACGATAAACGACTTGTCTGAAATGTAGCTGATAATTTTAGCACGGCAAAAATAAGACACTGGTCTTTACCTTACACGCAATGTCGCGAACGTCTTAGAATACCGTACCAAATTACCACGATCACGGCTCGAGCCCCGTACATTTAGACATTATGAGAGAACGAACTCATTCAATTGTACGACTAACTCAAGCAAGCGGTAAATTATTTTCACGATCGTGTCTTATCCAAGATCCGAATAGAATTCAATCGATCTTTCGTCATGATCGGTTGTTATAGAATACAAATAGGTAAAACTGGTTCAAAAGAGGCGGAAAGGATGTCAACAATATATTGTTAGAGGACTTGGGTGCGGAAGTTGCATTCGTATAGCTAAAATATATGTTTACAGTGAGACGATTTTTCAAGTGGAGATGAGTAATCCACTTTACTTGGATTGCCTCTCAGTCTCAGATGAAGTAACAAGTGGTAGATTTAAAAGATACGTTACAGATCAGCCTTTCACGCGCTGTGATAGCGTTTTCGGTTTGTTTATGTATTCTGTTTTCGGAAAAATTAAAATTAAAAACCCTAATTCAATTCTTACAATATGAATTTAAAAAGACGAATTTTACGTTGCAGATGATTAAGAGAAGAAAATGATCTACTTGTTTGTTTTAACCTCTATTTCGATGTTGCAACCCACTCGTGCATATTTTGGCTAACCCTGAGGGTCTCCCCGCTATGGGCGAAAATCGATTCAGAAAAAGCGACCAATGGCTACATGTGTCTCCTACTAGTATGGATAAAGAAGGCCTACAAAGAATTCACGAGGTTCAATCTGTTTTCAGTTATTCCACTTCTTTCAGCGAGTGTTAAACTTTCAGTTTCATTCGCACTTTGGCAACTGAGTGTTTCACATGCCTATGCATACTGTATTTCCTCAAATGAGCACCCATGCTCAGTAAGTGCCTTCCCCCGAATAACTCCCCACTCTTAAGGAAATCGATTATCAGCACATAGATTGATTGGTTGATGAGTGATACCCGATTTCCTTACGTGCTCGGTTCTTTTCGATGACTACAGTGTCTATTGCTTTCTAAAGTAGTAGACACAGAAACGATTTAAATGAATCCCTCAATAGACACAAAAACGATTTTATTGAACCCCTCAATTGTGTTCGTTTCATCACTTTCGGGTTTTTTCATCCAAGTTTATTGATATTACTACAGTATTGGAGTTAGTCAATTACAGTCGAACCTGTATTTAGCGGTCATCTTGGGTGAATGGCGCTTTATACAGGTCGACCTATTAATACAGGTTCCACAGATCAGGAGTATTGTGAAACGATACGCGTCATATTATGCCATAATTGATCATTTAGCCTACAAAGACTCGTACACAAATACTATTAACGTTGATTTCGGGAGATAAACATAGATTAAAATTTATATGAAAGTTTATTCTTAGTTTTATCAGAGTGGTCCCACTTTAAGAGACTGTTCAATACAGGTTATAGACAATACAAACAGGCCGTTGGGACTCAGTATAGGGTGACCACGACCGCTAAATAGATGTGAATATTACAGCTATTAAGGGGAAACAATTTCTGGACTTTGATAACCTACCTACTTAATATAGGATGACTGCTTAAAACAGATTCGACTGTATATTCACAAGGAGTCTGATTCACCTAGTGGCAACCACCCGTACATGTTCGGTTAAAGGAAGAGACGAGTTTTCAAATTAAGAAAGAAAGAAAGATTAAAAAAACCGACAACAAACAACCATTACATGCTTACAAAGTGCATGGTTTGTCGTCAGTTTTGGGTGTAAAGGCACCGGTTCTTTTTTTGCTTGTTTTTTGTTTTTTCGCCTAGCTCTGCCGCTTTTTTATCATTGGACACCCGATAAGCGTCTACAAGAGGGACTAGAACTCCCAGATCAATGTCAGTATATGGGCAACTTTGCACCCACCCCTCCCTAACCCAACAATAGTCAACTGATCACAAGTTTGGGTTAAAGCGGGTGAGGGGAAGGGTATTTGCGCAGCTCCTTAGATATAGACATTGATCGAAACTTCCAACGGGTTTGTCTAGGTTCACCAGTGTAGGCGACATTTCATGTTACGTTCAGGTTCTTAGATTCAGTGATGTGAAACGAAATGATTAATGTTTATTTCCATAGTACTGAAATCTGCGTACCTGAGGTGACTGGCGGGGAATTGACATATCTTTCCCTAATCTTTGCGGTATGTTTCTTCATATTTTTTCAAATAAAAGTAATGTTAATAGAAGGCCCTGAGAAAATGGTGGAGTAGCTTGACAAAGGCTGCCAAATAATCTTAAGTAGTGCGTTGTTGCTAAGATTACTTTGAACGAACTGTAATATATATAGGCTTGGGAAAGCAGCTGCTAGTTTCCACGGCCTTCTATTATATAAATTTTAAAATAATTGTCAGTGTACATTGAAGTATTAAACAAAGCCTTTCCATTGGGTAACAATGCAGTATTTTCAATGATCTTTTGAAAGTCCTATTTGTTTTTTCTTTTACAGCTGATAATCTTGCTAGTTCTGTCATTTCTTAAAACACGTAAAAGGAAGGTTAAAGTGTGCGGGGGCAAAACCATTGGTCGTCCAGGATTGTGCATGTAAGTATAAATTGTTCTTTTCCTTATAAGTTTACCTTCCCTAACAACTATATATGGGTGGAACAAGAGTACTTTGATATCTACGTTACACTAACAACAATACAGTTGTGCGCTACTGACAATAATCTACACTATTTACCCAACTAACAATCTTGGTTTTACATACACAACTATTTAACACTGTTTAAAAATAGTTTTTGCGTTAATCTACTTAATGTACTTATTGCACAATGCACTACCTAATATCTGATACTTATCCGGACTTAAGTGGCTACGTTACTGTATAACACTTCTCAGAACAAATTACTCACAATACTACTAATAGTTACAGTGTCTTGAAAAATAGCGCTATAAAACCAGAACAAAGCAAAAAAGAAACGAAATAACAAAACAAAAACAATTGTTTCTCCACTTATTCTTGTTTCTAAATAACTCATTTACATCGTCGCTGTTGATAATATGTGCTGTGGTTCACAATACTGTCGAAACTCTCCATAAGGTTCCCCTCGCGGACAGAGGAAAGAAGCATCTGTGAAGACTAACGCGTCATCAGAGATAATATTACGCCTGTTTCATGTTTTTTTATTCTTTTTATTTTTGCTTTAAAGTCTTGGACAAGTTCGGATTAATGTCAGTACCTGAGCAACTACGCACCTACCCCTCCATAAATGAACATTAACCCAAAGTTATCAGGTGACTCAGTTGCTGGCATTGATCACCAAGCTCTATCAATTCGGTGAAACATGACCAATATCGAGCGACTATTTAGGTCGTTTAACGAGCTTCAAAAGCCTTTTGTTAGGGTTCAACGAATTAGGGGAGGTTCGACTGTATGAACTGGTCATTTTACCCGAGTGATGTTTATCTTAAGACGGTTTATTTTTGTTTTATTTTAGTCCAGTGAATTTAGTGGACAGTTACGAAAATAGAGTTGGCTTTGCTTGTGCGTTCGGTGCTACGACATCGAAATGCTTGGACATCTTATTCAATGGGGACTTTACTCAAATATTCACCAGGGAGGAAATCCAATATTTTGAAAAAATGCCCTCGTACACGTCAAGTAAGCAACTCTGGAAAATTGCGCTACTTAAGCCTTAGCGAAACAAAACTCGTAATCGCACAGATTAAATGTGTGCAAAAGTGTTCTAGAAAAAAATTAATAAATAGTGAATGAACTGAATCCTATTCAAATGTATGGATTTTAAATTATTCAATTACAGTAGGATTTTATCCTCTACAAGCTATGGCTCAAATAGCTCCTAGCTCCCGTTGAGCGTTCAAGCTAAGTTAGTTAATTATAGCGCTTTGCTGGTATCGCGGGATGGTCATGGGTTGTAACCCTATATCTTTTAGGGCTTTCCTTTTACTTCAAATGAATGATTTATTCGATTGATTCAGCAAAGATAATTGAACAATCAAAGAAAAGAACCGCAAAGAAGTAGCAGCCAGTTCAGTTATGATTATATACTTACTGGTTTTTCTTTTTTCATCCTCACGGATGCTGGTTTCTGTTTTAGTTGTACTTAAACCGTGCGATGCATCTTGTTAAACTAAGGCTACTCATTTGATCAATTCAAACTTTTCACTGTAAGTTCATATTCGAGAAGTAACCATACGCTATAAATTATTTATTCAGATTGAGTTCAGTCGTGTGTACTCAGGCGCTTGTTCTATGTAACGTTCCTCTATATGGCTGCTCTGATTAATTCTTCTATGTTAATTTGTTTTCTCTACGTTTCTTTTCCGCAGTTGTTTGGAAGATATTGGCTATGTTGGTTATTGGCGTCTCCTATTACCCTCTCTTCGCTTGTATGGCCTCTAATTGGAAGATCACAGGCTATGTCTTCGGTTTCCTATACTCCACTATGTGGTTAGTTTGACGTGTTTCCCATAATCCTTTGACCTCCTTACAACATCACTCCAGAATCATACATGTAGGTCATGTGAATAAAGGAAATAATCACCGACTAAAGAAGTTCTTGATTGCAAAACAAATTCTCCTTGCTAGCACCTTAGGAAATGTATAGGGAACAGTATAGAGAATATGCATACTGAAGTTTGGGTGGAAAGGATTAAGCTTCAAATTTCCTTTTTCTTTATGATTATACATGTTTAAAATTATTAAAACTCATCTTTTGAGTGATGTCGAACGGATGGTATGACCATCGCAGTTATTTTATTTAGGTACAGTTGTGTTCAAAGGTGCAAGTTTTCTAGGGAGCTATTCGATAAAGCTTTGTTTATGTGTTAGTAAATCGGAAGTAACCTTGGTTTTCATTGTCGACTAAACTTCAGCCAGTAATCTACAAATGCTTTTAAAGGAAAGTTTTTGGAGCCGTTTCCCAGAGTGCTATCAATATGATCATAACTTTTTTGGTTCTACTTCTTTCATTTTGCAGGATTATCTTTGAGATATTAAAGCCCCTGCAGTGTCCGGTATGTAAACCTTAAAAAGGCGGTATTCTTTACGACTAAAACGGCCAATCTTAGCGAAGAAACATCACAATGAGCCAATGAGAAATGAATCATGTGTAAGCCAACTGGCATAAGCTCAAGAAACGCATTTTCATTTCTTTCGATACGCAACTGATTGAAAACCATTTTCTTTATATTTTGCCACTGTTATTTGTTTTTGCACATGGCAGATACATCCAGCTCACAGTATAAACTTTTCTCCCCTTTTTAATGACACTTGAAGGCGATATCATTCTCTCACAGTGCTCTTTCCTTTGTTTTGTTGTTGTCTTGTAGGAATTTGCTGAAGTTATATTTGCTGTTGAGCTTCCCACGTATTTGTGTTTGATCTACCTTTGGGTGAAGTACTTGGTGCTATTGGTTAGAGGGATATACAGGAGATGCCGTCCAGGTGCTTCTCCAAAGGTATAATTTTCTCGCAGATGCCGAAAAAAGGAAAAGAGATAAATCAATCTTTATGAGAACTTGATATGGAAAAAAAAAAGAAAGAAACAAGGACGAAAACCTGCATGCTTTTTTTTTCAAATGTTTGTTTTTTTGTTTGTTAGTTATTCTTTTTTTTGTTTTGTTTTGTTTTTTTTTCACATTCTTTTTATATTTATTTTTTTTCAGGACGAAGAAAATGAGTGGATGACGTTTTACAAGTATAGATACGTCGTTAAGCTTTTAGAGCCAGTACCAAAGGAGTAGGTTGAGTTATTCTTTATTGTTAAGACTCATTTTGCTTGAGCGTGTAGAGTGTGATGACACAGACAAATTTGGGTCTTGGAGGGTAGCTACAATACATATAGTTCCACGTAGTAAATTTGGAGATTTATGGTGAAAGCGCAAACGAAGGCGAACCAAATTTGGCAGTTATTACTAAGATAATTTGTCCGACTCGAGTCCATTAACTGCACTTAGAATTTTTTCTTTTCATTTCAGATTTAGAGACAAAAGCGGGGATACTTCTTTGAAAGGAAAGCTGAAAGGAAAGTTTTACAAGTGGAGACCAGGTATGCGAATGACCAACATTCAGGAAAACAACAACAATTACGACAACAACAACAACAACAACAACAATCCCAAGCCAACGAGTAGGATCCCATCGCTGCAACACAGTAGGGAACCCCCTCAAAAGATGAATTATTCTTTGTTTGACTTCGTGATTTTTTTTTTACCTCTTTTTTCAGACTTCAAGTATTCGACACGAGTCATTTGCATTTACGCTGTCAGCTTCATTGGGATATATATGGTAAGTTTATGTAGGAAGACACATGGAAAAATAACTTTTTTTTCTTTTTATTCAACGGAAAGTTTAATATTTTATAATCATTACTGGGTGAAAACGACGAGAATAAGATCAGTTCTTGCTGTTTAGTGTCTACTGCATGGCTCAAACGCTGTTTTGCTATTTTGTTAGACGTCCTATTTTTTTTTTTTTGATCAACGTACTCTATTGAATGCGGAGCAGGCGTGTGTAAGGCTTAATGTTCTCTGGATTACGAGCAGTCTACGAGCAGTCTTTATCTTTTCGGTGAAGTCTGTCCGTCGTGCCATTCCTTCAACTCGTCAACCATAATTAACCTCGAGTGCTGATTTGTGTTGACATGCATCAAAGCTTGTTGACAGATCTCCGGCCATTTCTAATTATATTGTTGCGTTGCGAGTGCAATGCATAAATCAAACTCTCTGGCTTTTTCTGCAGTCCCTACTTTCGTGCGCCTCACTCCCTGGGTTCTGTGCGGCGCGATAACGTCAGTTTTGTTTTTGTTTTTGTTGTCACTGAGTTTTAAACTCGCCCAATGGACTTCGCTTGAAAGAAAAGGGACTGCTAATAGTCTTAGTACTTTCCTGGTGAAAACTATAGCTGTCATCTTTGATTTTTATGGCAGCAGAGGGCTGAGGAGAGAAAGAAATTTGTACGTTGGGGGTGAGGGACGGTTACAAGGGAAGAGAGGGTGATGGGTGTGGCATGCTTCTGTCTACTCCTCATTCATTAATGTACATCACAAGTAAAGTAATCACATTGCCATTGAAAAAGCAACTTTTATTTCAGATGTTGTGATTTACCATGCATTAATGATCGACCTGAGAGAAAATATTCGCATAAATGTTAAGTAATTCTCGAAACATATGCGCTTAGATAATAAATTTCAGGCCTTTTTTTATATCTTGTCTCCTTATTCAGATTCTTCTTCTCGACTGTTGGTTTGCAATGCAACTTCTTTGGTTACGGGATAGCATTGTCGAAGGTTATGTGGCTACCGTTGACACAGTCAGAGAGTGGCTGATGATTGGAGTAGGTGTGTGCAGTGATCTTCTGCTAGAGGCCGAAATGAGGGCGAATACCGATGAACACCAATGCGATTTCCCTCTTTGCCCCAATATTAAGCTACCACTTCTCTTACTCAGGATTTATTACTTTTCTATCGCGTTCCTCTCTCTTGTCACAGTTAAACCGTGTAAGAGGTGTAAAAAGATTTAACACAACTGTAGAGCTCTTTCATTCTGATTTCATTACAACTTTGCCTTCCTTCATCTACATCTTACTCTCTTATCTCTCTCCCTGATTAGTGCCTCTGGTTTTTTTTTTTTATCGTTGCCAGTAGTGGCAATCAATGTCTCGGCGGCTTTTAAGTCTATTTTCCTCATTTTCTTACTAGAGTTTTCTTTCTTAATAACAGTGTCCATCTTCGTAGCTGCTGGAGTGGCTGGAATTCACAGTATAATACTGGTGGCAAACATGCTGTCATGGTACAGGTGAAACACCTTTATCTGTTCTCACCCATATGCGATCACTAAGTTCAAACACTATGATTTTTTTTTTAAAGAGAAATGTAATCGTTTTTCTCACGATGTGGTCACTTTGGATGTTGGAGCGTGACGTTTCGACAAACGATTGCATTTCTCTTTTGAAAGTGTTTTTTACCACGATGACTAACCAAGACCAATTTTACTACGGGCGTTGTTGCAAAGAGGTCAAGTGGACGATGAACTCTAAAAGATTCCTTCCTTACTTTGCATGCTTAAAGGCTGGGACTGTCGAGGGCTTCGGATATACCCTTTTGTTTCCACTACATGTTGTTTCTATCAATATTTTGGTCAGATGTTGTTATGCAGACATTTCAAGTGCATTTGCTTGAGTGAGTTGTGGATGGAATATCGAAGGCAATAATAGTGCATTTACACCTGACACAATCAATAGTTTAATCCCGACGCCCAGGAGACACCGAAGTATTTCGTCTTTTTGTTCGTAATGTGGTTCCCATTTTTTTCCCTAGAGGACATTTATTACGTCTTCAACGTGGGGAAAAGAATTTTCTACCAAAGGAAGTCTTCGACAAAAAACCTTCTGCTATCACGGTAAAGGGCAATAATTTCCTAGAAAGAGCGCGTTTGCAACAGAGCTACATTGAAACTAATCTGGTTATGCTATATACTGCAGTCTCATCTATTCCAGCGAGATTAAAAGGTGAAAAAAACGTGTGAATTACCACACTTCTACAAGCACTTGTAGTAGCTGAAACACTTTAACACTCGTGTTTCTACAATTTTTTTCTTTGAATCATTAAAACTGGACGTCGTTCTTTGAGATTACACAACTTCTCAAGGGAGAGTCAAATACCATTTGCGTGAAAGAAAATCTTGGAATATTGAAGATATTTTTAACACATTTCAAAAACGTGACAAGTTCATACATGGCTAACGAATTTAGGTCGCCGAATAAGCGTTCTTTACTTCAAATTCAAATTCCTTAAAAACAAATTTATGAATCTGAATGAAAGTGTACTTAGGCACCTTGATGTTGCTCTGATTTCAGGTTGCGACGCTGAAATACGCAGGCTTCCAAGTGGCTTATTTGTGTTGGGGTAGGCATCTTTTTTATAGCATATTAAACTTTCCTCAGTGTATTTTCAGCATTTGCTTCCGAATGTATAATTTCGTGAGATTGTTGATAACTAGATATTTCGAAGCATTCATCATTCTTTGGAGAAACTATACCTCTTAGGTGTTCTTCGCGACCAACTGCTGAAGTGCGATTACTTCCATCACCGAATTTTAAATTTTAATTTTTGATGTTATATTCTGCTAGCGCAGAAGAAAAAGCAACAGCAACAACCAAAACTTTAATTTGATGGTTGCATAGTGCAAGAAACTCGAGTTTTCGTCTCATTTCCTTCTCAAGGTGCGGTAATCACCACTATAACTGTGACCGCAATCGTTTTTGTGATTGGGCAACAACTCATTATGCCCATGGTGCGTGGAAACTTTGACACCTTTCTCTGGTTGAAGCTCCTTAATCTCTGGTAAGCTTAGTGATTATTTCACATAGTCCAGGCAAGGGCAGTGGGCGATGGAATTTTACTCTCTTTCGTTCGCATTTTGTTTTATTTATTTATGTACACACTTATTAATTTTTTTATCTATTAATCATTGATTAATATATCTGTTGAAATTGGGAGAAATGTAGAACTTATGGGTAAAGGTTATATCTCTCAGTTGGTTATGTACTTGCGTCAATTAAGCTGGCCCTTAATAATTCAAAAGTTTGTACAAATTGACACTCCCTTCTAATTTGAATTCAGAGATATGATAAACACTTTACCAACTTCGTTTTCCAGATCTGTACTGTTAGTTACGGAACCTGGTTTTTTCCGCCTGGATGTATGGCCCGCGCAATTCCCAGCTAGGCCTAAAATCCGAGCGCAAAACACAAGGTCCGTAAGTTACGGTACGGACCTCGAACTGGGTTAGTAAAAAGTATGTAAGACTTAACAGCTGGCAATAATTGTTGTCGTTGGTAAAAAAGAAGCATTTTAATTTTTCAAAGGCTTTTGATTCCCACATAAAAGTCTAGGTCGCTTTTTGCGATCAATGAACGTCACCAAAATCAGTAGCCTCGATGTTAGAGGGAGAGCAATGAAATGGGAAAAAATTTTCATTTACAAGGGCTAGCCCAAAATAGCCACAAGCATTGAAAGTCAGTGGCCCAAATTCCGGATGTATATAATTACTAAAAAAATACAATTGTAACTGTAGTAAAAAGCATACCTTGCAATCTATCAGAAATAACCTATGAAGGCAACGTCACAGTTAGTCAATAATGAGAGTAACATAATAATTCTAATAATTTTCTACAAATGTGCTATTTGAGATGAATATTTAGCTGGTAAGGTATAATGGCACATTGGTCATTTCTGTAAGCTTATTGTTCCTTGACGTTTGCTGAGATGGTGTGAAGACAAATGCACTTTGCTTTCATGGTATAGACCAGGTTATTGTAAAGCACAGTGCAAATATGTTGATTATTTTGATGATATTTTATGTTTCAGGCCCGCCGTCTTGATTTCCTTGGCGTTCTTCTTCTTCCAGATATTAATGGCCAAATATGCATTTTTAGTAGGCAAGGATACTACATTGGCCTTGGATAACAGGTAAACCAGGTTCGAGATTTAAAGTTTTGTCTTGGGAACGCTCCGTACCTCTCTCCTTATACTGAAAACGTGGGCATGAAATTTCCCTGGACTTTTTTTCTTATTCGCGTCATGATATGCTATTTTGGGAAGTACTAAGACTCCTTTCCAAAGAGAAAGGTAAGATAATAAAGATAGAGATAAGCTTGCAAAAAAGCAAGAATGATGAAGAAATGCAAATATTGCTTCCGTTTGCTTTATGAGAATTTTTTAAAATAGTCATAAATAGGAAAGTAGGCTTCGTCTTTGAAGATGCTAAGTGAGTGACGTGGCTGTTCCAATTTCTTACTAATTAACCTTTATGCTGCTTACACTCAGGCGCCTATTCCACATCTGCACCTATTTTTTATTTTTCTTCAACGTTTTTCTCGGTGTTGTATCTTGCCTCAAGCGAATTTTGATTGGTGCCCTTCTTGGGGTCGTGTTTCTTGGACGAACACAGAAGAGTCTTATATCACGGGATTGGGAGCTGAAAGATCCAGGTAACAAATAGTACTATAGTAGGTTTTGTGCACTATAGTGCTAGATTTGGGTTTTTGCTTTAATTAACTGGACAAAAATTAAGGCACTTGTGCTGGTGTCCGCCTATGAAGAGTGACTGCTTTGTTTACGTTCTGCTTGTGAAGGGTTTCAGTCTATCGAATCATTGAAAACTTGCGTGTGTATTTCTTGGCAGGATTTAATGCATACGTTGGATATCTGCTCTTGGAACACACTCATGCTAATCCAGTGCTGGTAACATTTTGCCAACTGCTTGTCAAGACACTTAACGACAGAGCGGATCTTGAAATGTCAGAGAGCTTTGCTGAAACAAACCATATTATTAATTCCTCATCTTCAAGTAAGTCTAATTTCTCGTTCTAGTTCTGAACAACAGTACTGCTCACTTACATCACCCATATAAGCAAACACTCAACGAAGTATTATTAGCAGCAAGTTGCAGAGACATTGCGTTTGCTCTATTTGTTGCAAGAGTTATCTCTTGCACGCAGAGTGTAAGACTTTGATAGAAACATGCTGTTTCTTTTCCTGATGAGATCATCATTCGCATAGATCCTCAAATATTTTCGGGAACGACGTTTGAAATGTAAAGCTTCACGGCTTATATTCTTAAATCCAATCACATCCAATCACCCCCCTTCCCTAACTAGCTCCTTCCTTCTTTCCCTCTGTGTTCTCCAATATGTCCTAAATTGTCATCCATATTAAGCATAGTGTCTCTTGACTTTCTTTGTTCCCTGTTTTTTTTTTTTTTTTTTAATTGAAACCAGATCCCTTAAATCGTGAAAAGAGTCACATGTTACCACCCCGCAGTTTCCAATGCACTTTTATTCTCTTTGAAGTTCTTTCCTTTTTTATTTTCATGTAGACAGCTCTGATTGCATCAATTTTGTTAAAATCCAATTCATGATCATTTTGTTTCTTGCTATTTTCTTTTTCTATCGCTGATCCTGATCGTCCTTTAATCTGCTGTGGGTCGGTTGTCAACCCTAAACTGAATTACTCTTAAATGCTCGTCCTTAGACAACCAAGTAAGTATTGAACTAAATGACAGCTCGAGCAAGAGAATGAACCGAACAGTTCGCAATCGCTGGCAGCTGCTTCTCACGCTGCATAACAACCCATCGCTTAAGGAGCACAGACGATCGGAGCTCTTCGTCCAAAAGTCGCCTCTGGCAGCTTTTGGAGTTATGATAAAGAAAGGCATGATGCCGTACAGGGTTGACGAGGAAAAGGAAAAGGAGCATGAATCTGGTGTTGAGGATATCAAACTGTGATTTACAGCAATGTCTCAAATCAGGTCACAAGTTATTTCAATGTTGAAAGTCCTGGTTATAACCAAACAACATGTTTCTGATTGACCCGCCTATATTCGTTCTGGTAAACAGAAATATGCGTATTTGGCAGAGTCCGTGTCTTTGAAAGGGAAGAAAGATCTCGTAAGGTACTTGAATGTTTGTGATCTGATTTGTTGCGAAAAAAAATCTCTTCCACAACGATTGATATATAAGAGAGTACAAAGTGCTGGATAATAGGACCACTGCACCTTAGTTCACTGGATGAACGATGGTGATAAATTTAGTAAACCTATGTAGCCGAGAGAGTTGTGATGTTAAATCATGTACAAATACCATTGCCAATATAGGGATACAGGTTTTTAAGCAATGTATATTAAGACTCTATGTTTCTTTATTTATACAAATTCTGAGAAATATTTTCAGGAATATGTGTTGATGTTAAACCGAGTTTAAAAAATGCCGTTTCCCTCTAATGTGTGTTTAAATTAACAGAGTAATGATTTTTAAGTCTTGCTTTCAGAAAGGGAATTTAGTTATCTTTTAGCAAGAGGCCATTTTGTGTTTGCAATACTTATTTCAACTCGGCGACAAATCTCATGGTAATAAACTTTGAATGTAAAATGATGTTATTAAAGAATGGCCCATTTCAATTTCTTAATTATGGAATACTTTTTTGTGTAATCAAGGAGCCTCGCTCAACTTTTCGTCGAGTCAGACCTGATCATCTTCCATTTAATTCCTTTCAAACAGTATTTTCCTGTACGCTATTTATGCTGAATGTTAACAGTAAAACAGCTTGAGCGAATACCTTTTTGGCGAACACCGAGAGAATTTCCAATTTTGTCCTTCTATCCTTACTGCTTATTGAACCTCCATTTAGCAAAGGTGTTTACCAAACGGCCACGGACTCATAAGTTTTGCCCTTTTTAAACCAAACACGAATTAGTCCTATTAAGCGGATTTTTTCTAATAGCCTACTTTGGTTAATTGCAGTTTTTATCAGTGATTTATATGCACGGTAAGGCATTATTCTCCGCGCCTATCTGCAGTGAATGCCTAGTTAATCGGAAATGGAGCTTTTTTCGAAAAAAACTCTGCAAACTGATTGAGTTCCACAACGCTGGGTTTTTGGTTGTTAGGAAGCGAACTGAAATGGTCACCCGATTATATAAAGACATTATTAAACTTAAAGTTAACGGTGAGAACGCTGCATTTGATGACCGCGGTATTTACTTCAGTAACAAAAGAGAGCTCCGAACTTTTAAATTTACCTCATTTTAGTTAAAAAGCGAAAGGAAGGCTCTTGATAAATGCTTTAAAAGCATATAGGACAATATTATTCAAATGAAAATTTAGGATGGATTTAGGATTTTTCCAAGCGTATTAGATCCTCTTTAGTGTCTCCCTCGAAAGTTCCTCTGTTTCGTAAGTGACAAGGACAATTCAGCCCTAAACACAACAGAAACCAGCGCGGAAACGTCCTCACACCTGTCTTTTTGTTTGACTAACAATGTTCGCAGCTTTCTTTGTACTTCCACAGTTGCAAGGTTGTTGTTTGCCGCACCTGAGTTACAGAGATGACACTTATCAATAGATCTTACGATTGAAAAATATTGTGAGTTGACAAGGATTTCACTTTATTGTTTCCATTGTTTTCTCTTAAAGAGTGCCGAAGCGTCATTTATCGCGTTCTTCGATTCTTGGAAACTCTACGGCCTTTGTCCAACTGTAATCATTACCGTAGAGGAGACGGAAAAAATGCACAGTGATGTAGAAATAGTTCTTAATGACATTGTTCCTTGCCTACTAAAACATCAGTGTTTTCCACGTCCACCAAGTATAAAATTACATTTCACTTCACAATCAATTAGAAGAGGGAATGTTTAAAGATTAGACTCTTACTGCTAAGTGACTCATCAATTTTGTAGCACCTCTGTATTAAAATGTCAGTCGCGCCTAATTCACCTTAAACAAACTGATGCATTTTACTTAAACGGTGGAGACTGAGGAATGCTCTTTCCGGAGCGATTCTATATCAGGATTTTGCTTAACCTTTTAACTCCCAAGATCTAATGAGTAATTCTCTCCTCTAGCTGTTCTACACACCCTTGTAAATTAGTCATGACAATTTGGTGTTAGATCAAGACAACAACTTCTACCTGATAAGCTTGAATATTACTCATTATTTGTTGGCTGGAGTGTAAGGATATTATTGGGAGAAGTTTTATGTTGATTACCTCTGGGAGTTAAAGAGTTAAGGTTATCATTAGTGACTCTTACTTTTAGATATTATAAGGAGAAGGAATGGAGTCTAGCCTTAAAAAATACACTGTGCTTTTATAATTTAGCGTCAATTATTATTCTTTGTAATGATGCGTATGGTATGGAAATAGCGTTCCAAGGTATAGATATAATACGTTTGTGTCTATTTCTAGTTTTCGTAACGAATTTAACCAACTTATGAAGACTTTAGATGTGTCCGCAGAATTTCAGTTTTTTTTTCCCTTTCTTTTTTCATTGTTAGGTGTGGCCCTGCAATTGCTGTCTTTTTTAACATTGCGTCCAGGTTCTTTAATATTTAAATTTATGGTCAGATTTCACTTTACCTAAATTCTGAGCGTGACATGTGTCTTACGCGAAATTTGTTTTCTCTTCGTTGGTCAAATAAAGCTGAATTATTTTGAAGCAGATTTTACAAACTGCCACAAACCCTGTCAAGTTGGACTGTCAAACAACATTCAGTCTGTTGTAAATATCATATATCCCTACAGAGAACGTATTCGGCTGTTTAAATCCGGGTGGCGTATCTGACTAAATACTAAGTTTTTCTAACTTGCAATTGGTGGAGCATGGAGAAACCAAGATATTTTGTTAATATAGCTGATTCGAAGTGCTGCGCAAATGCACCCATAAAAACGCGCTCAGAATTGCTACTAGCCACTGTGCCTTGGAATCTTCACTAAGAATCATGAGAGCTTTGGTACTTTTCCTACTCGTGGCTTTCGCCTCGTGCTTAAGTGCTAAGAACTATGTACGAGTTTGCTATCACACAAACTGGTCTCAGTATCGTCCAGGTGCTGGCAAATTCTGGCCCGAAACCATCGATCCTGAACTTTGCACTCACCTAGTGTACTCTTTTGCGAAGATCAATCGAAACACTGACAAACTGGCCATGTACGAATGGAACGATGACAAATTATACCCAAGATTCAACGCATTGAAACAAAAAAATCCCAGTCTCCGAACCCTATTGGCTGTGGGAGGATGGAATCATGAAAATCACAACAGTCCATTTTCAAAAATGGTCAAAACTGCGGCTTCAAGAAAGGTATTTTCAGACGATATTATCTCTCTTATCCAACTGTGGACTAGTTACCTGGCTTAATAGTATATTTGCCTATGCCATCGGTTTAGGTCAGAGAGTAATAATGCAGTCTCAGAATATAAAGAGATTACCAGTTATTTATTACTATTATTGAAAGGCTATTATAAATTTAATCATTCCGTTTTTATCAACACTTAGTATGATGGCTTACATTCGTGCTATTTGATTCCTCAGGAGGCAATAAACCCAATTAATTTATCTTTACTCTCGACATGTGGTTTCGTACCTCGGTTGCACGCAGCGTCCAACGCCCAATGTGCATTTGGGAGACACGTCCCCTTCTAAGCCTCTTCTAGTTATGTCTGCTTGTTTTTTTCCTTTAAATTTGTTTTTGGTTCAATTGGTTTTGTTTGCGATGAAGGAAATTCGAATGTTACTGTAACATTTCAAGAACAGTTTTTTTCGCTACTCACAGTTTTAATGCCTTTGTGGCCTCGTATGTTTTCGCCTGCCACTAATGCAAATTGCCTTGATCGGCCTAAATTCCACAGTTGTTATATTCTGAGAAAAAGAGTAAATATTTTTAAAAGGAATAATAAGAAAAAAAATCAGTCGGTGGGACATGACGTAGAAGACCCAGAGGAAAGTCAGCGAACTTGAGAGTAGTAAATACTGACTAATAAAATGACAATTTTAATGTATTAATTGATACTTTTCTTTACGTTCCAGGTGTTTATAGACTCTGCAATTGAGATGTTAAGAAAATGGGATTTTGATGGTCTCGATCTCGATTGGGAATATCCTGCCACTCGGGGAGGTTCACCGCCTGAGGATAAGCAGAGGTTTACAGTACTCTGCCAGGAATTATTGAATGCATTCAAAGCTGAAGCAGCCGAAACGGGAAGACCTCGCCTGTTGCTGACTGCTGCCGTTGCAGCTGGCTATAAGACCATCGACAAAGCGTATGAAGTGGCCAAACTTGGCCCTCTTCTGGACATCCTCAACCTCATGACCTATGATCTGCACGGCAACTGGGACAAAGTAACCGGACATCATACGGCTATGGTAGGGGATGACAAACTGACCGTGCCGTATGCTGTTCAGTACTGGATTGACAAAGGATTTCCAGCCAGTAAGATCGCTCTTGGCCTTGCTACGTATGGAAGAGCATTTGCACTGAAAGACCCAAGCAATAATGGTCTTGGCGCTCCTAAGCATGATTGGCAGAAACCCCACAAAGGTCAATTTACCCGTGAGGCAGGCTTTCTGGCATACTACGAGATCTGTAAGCTTGGCCTGACCGTTGTCAATAATAATGCTGTCATGGCGCCATATGGACACAAAGGCACCATCTGGGTGGGTTTTGATGACAAGTACAGTTTGCAGTACAAGGTGGAGGAGTTAATCAAGAAAAAGGGTCTGATGGGAGCGATGTTTTGGGCTCTCGACTTGGACGATTTCAGTGGCTCCCAATGTGGCGATGGCCCATATCCCTTGATGAACGCCGTCAAGAAGTACTTGGGTGGTTATACACCACCGCCACGTCCCACCGAGCTCACCCCGCCTCCTCAAACTCAACCTCCTCAACCTCCAGTGCCAACCGACGGACCAGGACCTGCTACCCCGATGCCGCCAACCGAAAAGCCAAGACCTCCTTCTGGGGGTTGCGTCGCTATTCCACCTTATGACCAGTCTCCAGGACAGGATGCATGGTGCAAAGCTAACTGTGCTGTGGGATACTGTCCTTCAACACACTGCAAATGTGATTAAATGGGGAGCACGATTGCATAAAGAAGTGAGAAATGTAATAGATTAAAATAAGAATGAATAAAACTACTTGGCATGAACAGATGCGTATCTTGATTCTCACCCTCCCCCCACTCCCCTAAACTACTACAAGGAAAAATGGAAAGACAAGCCGTCTGGTTTCGATTATTAGTGGCCATAGCCAATTGTGGAACTTTTTCGAAAAAATTGGGCCAAAACTAAGAGCTAAGGGAACTAGTTTTTTTTTCTCTGCATACTGAATCAAAATACAAATTTTTGCCTGGATTCTTATTTGATCAACCTATTAGGAAAATTTTAGATGTTAAGATGCTAACTCAAATGACGTTAGCCCTTTCTCTATGACGAAGGGCTTACCTCACTTCATTGAATGCTTCTCTCTCGCAAATAATGTTTTACTCTTCCACAGAGAAACTAGAAAAAATTTTCGCTCATTTTCATCACAAGGGCCCTTACTCTTTATAGTGATGAGAGCGACTTCGCTCATAGCCTCGTTCTAGTGCCGTAATTTCGGAACCAGATCACTTAACCGCGAGAACTCGGAAGTGGTCTATTCAACCTTTGTTAGTTGACTCAGGTTCTCTTCCACAAACCTTTTATGTAGCGCGATATTCATTTTACCGCGGCGACAACTTCCATAGCGAGAACCTTGGAATGAGAGGGAACATTTTTTAAAAAGTCTGCTCTTCATCCCTCGGAAATAGGAACTATTGTTTATTCAAAGACCTTCGCTCGACCGTTTTGTATATTTTTCTTAATTTCTGTACAAGATACATGTTGGATCCTAAAATTAAAGTGGAAACTTACTGGAGTGATACCCAAATTTAGAAGATCTCATAAAGGGGCTAGGTCACGCATGACTCGCACATACGCGCACATTTCAGAAGAATGGAGAAAATAATGGTACCAACAGGCCGCTGATACCCATCGCCGTCGAGTCTCCAACAATCGTTTAAATCATAGGATTTTTCCAACTTAAAATGTCTAAGATATGATTCAAATCCAGGATTCATGTAAGGTGTCGTTTAGGAGTGAGTATTTTCCCGATACGTCGACTGTGCAATTCTTATGTGTCTCCGAGTGTTCGTCTAGTTATGGAACCACGAGGGAGAATTTCACCTGGTCAGTTCAGCGGGGTTTTTCTTTCGTGGAACAAAGGGAGTCCGACGATTGTTATTTAAGGAAAAACTGTGCAGGGAGGGAAGCTTTTTTTTCTACTAATTTAAGGATAAATTAATTGGCGAGTCGTCGGAATCTTTTTCTTCCGTTTGATACATAGCTCGCATCATTAGCGGCGAGTTCCTGCAAATTGTTTTTTGTTGTTTTGTTTTTTTTTTTTTTCATCTGCCCAATTCTCCACTTTCCTAAAGTTAAACCATCGATTCGGTCATTTCATTTCTCGTTGGTTTGTTTTGGTTATATAAGATGAAAATTTCCCCTCTACTAATAAAGCGATATATTTCACTTATTCGCCTACGTAGTATCATCTTTTTTTAACAGAATCCAGGATTCAGCCTTTTCGGCGGCATCGAACTCTTGAGGTAGCTCTCTTGTTCAAGATTTGTTGTTTTGAGCGATGGAGTTTCGAATGTAGAATTTTTTTAAGGATCACTATGAATAAAGCGACTTACCTGGAAAGCTGTTATGATTGTGTTCTGTCAATTTGCCAAGAAAGCGCGTGAGAGCGTGTTATATTCTTATCGTGCCCTTGACAAGTAGAAAATAACCTTCAGATAATGTGCTCGTCAAGAGGGAAAGCCCTAAAATGTATTGGAATTTATTGAAACTCACACGAAACGACCGAGAGAAAATGGTCCACATATTGAGTAGTAATTACTTCGCATCGTTGTCAACAATACGTGACTAAAACACCTTGCGATGGTTCCCCTTTGCAACGAAGCGCTCTATTTCTTTTCGATTATTATTGGGAACAATAGCGATTTGATGCCTACTGAGTGTCAATCAGGGATAACTCAGGGCGCAAGCTCAAAGCGTGACCTATTCCCTTTCAGCGGAGACGGGGGAAATTCCCAATTTTGTCTTTGATCCCATCTTTACGGTGAACCGAGCTTGCATTTAGCAGAAAGGTCTATGAAACGGCTGCGATCGCAAGAGTTGAGCAACACAATTACAGGACCTAATCAACATAAAAAACCAAAACAATTCCTCTTCTTTCTTTTTATGCCTTTCTTTTCGTTATCTGGCTTGTATGTATCACATTTAAGCTGAAAGCAAATAAAGCGACTTTTTGTCTTCTTTTAACAAAGGTTATTTCAGAAAAACAATGTCCATTCACTGAATCAATAACCCCGAATTACTGAGTTGTTAGCAAGGGTGTTTACTTTGGGGCAAATGGCTCCTTTCATTGCTCGCGTTGTTCCTACATCAAACACCTGCCTCAGTTACGCGTTTCTACTAGCCGCTAAGGTTATAACCTATTCATACGTAAAAACTGTGCATTTGTAATTCTCAGGCTGAATACTCTAATTTTCTGACGATTTAAGGCTAAAACATATTTCGTTCTCGCTCGTAGTTATTGTTGCATTTCAGTTACTTAGTTCACATACAGTAATTTCAAAACCCCTGATTACGGATATCCAGTTGATAAAAATGTTTAGTTATGGCGGAATGTTCAGTACGACAGCTTTTGTTTAACTTTTTTTGTTTTGTTTTTTAACCTTAGAGATCTTTTATGTCATTCTGTTTTGTTTTGGCTTATTCAATTGCGTACCGCTGAATCTCTCTAATTTTTACGAACTGATCATGTAGCCCTACCAAAGAACGTTGCCATGATTACTATTATAATGTTCACTTGTCTTTATATTGTTTTGACTTAATGAGCTTACAGCACATACCGTTCAAACGCACATTAAAAGGTGCAAGAAGCTATTTGTTGTCATTTAAGAACGCGCAAGCCTGAAAAAGAAATCAATTTATCCCCAAGAGGTTGCAAACACAAGAAATTAAAAATTGATTTACTCTTTGATCCCCGAGGAGAAACGAGCACTACTGTAAAAGCTGGATTTCTCGTGATACATTTTTTCCAAGCACGTGAGCGTGCGTCGAGAAAATTACGCACGTTGATATGTGTGTAGATGCATCCGTTGACTAAACGTTATTTTATTTACAATTTCAACTTTTTTGAGGCGTTTCGCCGCATTGCGAGAGTGCAAAGAAAAGTTGAACAGCCCAAAACTTTTAAAACCTGTGGTATTCATATTTACGCTGTTTTAAAAATTCGGAATTGTTACGTGACTGGAAGTCTACCTCGACTGCATATAACCGCAAAATGGTCATTTAATCTTAACCCACAATGTTTTGGCCAATCAATTAGTGTTTTGGATGAGCGTATACGCCAAATGATATGGACAACCCGTTGATAAGAAGACTTTGTATGACTAAGTTGGAGTCCGTATTACTGTGACTTAAAATATCGTAAAAAAAATGGCTGCAATTTCAAACTAAAAACTCATGAAAAGAGTAATATAAAGAAATTAACATTGAGTTAAGTTAAATTCAGTAGTATTAAAAAATACAGCTTTGCCAACAAGAGCCTGCAATAACACTTTGTCAACAATAGGTAGTGTGATACGATCGGCCCACGGGCCGCGTATTTAAACAGCTTTAACACCCCACACAAAGAACTGTACCATGGTACAATTTGCCTTTCAAGTTACGGCTTGTATCACTCGCTAAGTAATCATCCAGTTTAACCATGATTTAAGGCTTGAACTGCCATCAACACCTTTGATTCATGCTGACCAAACACGTAGCCGTCAGTTTATCTCTGATTGGCTTAAGAAAGTAAAGTAAGTTTGAGCTACAAGCATGAAAGGCTTACTCAGCTGCTTAGAAACTTAAAAGCCAGATACCTATAAAGTACGGGACCGGACCATTTCCCTTACATTACAACGGTTTCTGTTCTACGGTATTTGTTCTCTGAGTCATGCGATCTTTCGTTCCTTTTCTGTTTGTGGCGATTGCCTCATACACTAGCGCTAATAACTATGTACGAGTGTGCTATCACACAAACTGGTCTCAATACCGTCCAGGTATTGGAAAGTTCTTTCCTGAAAACATTGATCCTTTTCTGTGTACCCATCTGATGTACGCGTTTGCAAAGATCGATCGAAACACCAACAAACTGGCCATGTTCGAGTGGAATGATGACCAGTTATACCCCAGGTTCAACGCCTTAAAGAATAAAAACCCTGAGCTGCGAACGTTGCTAGCAGTAGGAGGATGGAACCACGAGAACTTTGACAGTCCATTTTCAAAAATGGTTAAAACTCAGGCTACTAGAAAGGTATCGAAAATGAATACAATTATTTTATGTTAATGGTTCCCTTGTAGTTCTTCCAACTTAAACTGTTTTCACAAACTTAAATGATTAAAATCTGCTATGGATTAAGGAACGATTAAATGATCCTCTTCAGGAGAAAACGCATTCAAAGTTATTAACGCCGTTAAGACAATGCACATGATCGAGAATGTATAATAATAACTATAAAAAGCTTTTCCACTGCTTTAAAAGAAAGCATCCATGATAATAATGCAAATTATCAAAAAAAAAGATCAATTTAAAATAAGTACAAAACTTTCCTTATTAAAATTGCTGACGTTGTTCGCTGGACATGAATATTATAGGAATTCGTTTATCCAGGAGAAATTTATTCAGTAGAATTAAATATATTTAAAGAAAATGCGATATATGGCTTACAGAAAATTCTACTAGATAATTTTTCCCCGAAACTTTTATATTTGAAGTGCCATCGTGAATGGTGCGTGCATGCAAAAAATCAAGATAGGTCACCGAACAAAATTTCGAGCTAGAAACAAATGTATTTCGTAGATTTTATTTCCGGTTCGCGCAATTTCAAGCAACATTTAACTTCCGGTGTGCTGATTTTGATTCATTCAGCTGACGCGTGCATCTTAGTTGTGGCGTGTGTAGATTGCGCGCGCGCGTGCATCTAAAAACCCTTTCCAGCCTCCAACCAATTGTTGTTGTTGTTTTTTTTTTTTGAGAATTTTTTTTCATATTGACAACAACCGATAAAAATATGTTTCGATCAAGCCAGGCTCAGTTCAAGTATTTCCAATTCTTCTTGTCAAATATGTTTCCTGTCATAAGGAAACGAAAATTCAAAACAGCTTACTGACAGAATTTTTAACTTTATCGTGGTACTTCAGGTATTTATTGACTCCGCCATTACGACACTTCGAGCGTGGGGTTTTGACGGTCTTGACCTGGATTGGGAATATCCTGCCTCTCGGGGAGGTTCACCGCCTGAAGATAAAAGGAGATTTACCTTACTGTGTCGGGAGCTATTAGAAGCTTTTAAAGCTGAAGCAGCCAAAACGGGAAAACCTCGCCTGCTGCTAACTGCCGCCGTTGCAGCTGGCTATAAGACCATCGACAAAGCGTATGAAGTGGCCAAACTTGGCCCACTTCTGGATATCCTCAATCTCATGACTTACGACCTACACGGGAACTGGGACTCAGTAACGGGACATCACACTGCCATGGCAGGGGATGACAAAATGACTGTTCCGTTTGCGGTCCAGTACTGGATTGACAGAGGATTTCCAGCAAACAAGATTGCTCTTGGACTTGCTCCGTACGGAAGAGCATTTGCACTGAAAGACCCAAGCAATAATGGCCTTGGCGCTCCTAAGCATGATTGGCAGAAACCCCACGAAGGACCATATACCCGCGAATCTGGCTTTCTGGCTTACTACGAAATCTGTAAACTTGGTTTGAACATTGTCAACGATAATAAAGTTAAGGCACCTTACGGCTACAAACATACAATCTGGGTGGGTTTCGACAACAAGGACAGCCTGCACCTCAAGGTGAACAAGCTGATAATGAAAAAGGGTCTGAAAGGAGCGATGTTTTGGGCTCTCGACTTGGACGATTTTAGAGGATCCCAATGTGGGGAGGGCCCATATCCCTTGATTAACGCTGTGAAGAAGTATCTAGGTGGCTACATACCTCCTCCTCGTCCCACTGATGTAATACCGGCACCTACTACAAAAAAGCCAATGCCACCAACTGAAGGACCGGAGCCACCAACCGACGGACCACAGCCACCTACAATCACCGACCGACCGGTTCCTTCCACTGAAAAGCCCACTGCTTCTCCTAGTGGTTGCGTGGCAGTCCCACCTTATGACACAGCACCAGGTATGGTCGCATGGTGCGTAGCAAATTGTGCGGCTGGATACTGCCCGGCTTCTCACTGTAAATGCAATTAAATCTACAATTAATGAAACAAAGATGAAATAAAAAGCATCGGCGATAAATAACGTCCGTATTCATTATTTTCCTCTGGGAGGTTCTAATGACAGAGGAGTGCTTCCTAAAGGTTTTTGCTGACATGATTGCGAGGCTGATCCCGACCTTTGACCTCCTTGGGTGGCGAAATCCATATAACCTGCAATACGTGCGTATTTTTTAGCAGAAATTTGGAATGAAGAACACGATAGCTTCCTTGTAGGCTTTCTTTTTCAGTTGCTCGTTCAAACTAGTATTAATTACGCTTGTCCAATACTCTTTCTCTTGTAACACTGTTTTCAGCCACGTTGTTCGCTGGGGTTAAAATGATAGTTGGCTTTCTCGCACATCGTGAGGATTGACCACTAGTTTCTCAGATATGCACCAAACAACGGATTTAAGGTTAATCTCTTTTCAGTTAAGAGGAACAGCCGAACACAAGCCTTAAAACCCTCGTCATCTATAATCTTGGGTTCTTGCCTCACCACAACATATCACTGCGGACGCTTCCATTGTAAATAAGAGGAAAATCACAGCTTTTGCAAGATATTATCGTTAATAAACATGCGTACACTTTTTTCGTTTTCGATATACATTTAACCCAACCTGGTAGAATTAGGGAAAAGATTGGAATGAAGTGAAAATATTTAAATAAACAAATAGACGAATAGATAAATAGACGAGGAATCTAAACACATGCAAACTGGAACAATAACTCTAACAGGATATCATCAAGCGTCAATTACTATTTTTGAAGCATCGAGGCAATGCTTGTTTCTTCTGAAGTCTTGAAACGGAACGGGCAGTAGCATATAATTCGAAGATGAATTTGTACCATATGGATATGATTAGGACGACATTGTTTCACTCGGACCTTAAGTGATTAAGACGGTATTAATCACTCTCTTCCGCCACATCTATCATCACATGACAGTGATTGGCAATATTATATTGCCATTGAGCAGTACATAACAACTTATACCTCTCGCGCTCCTCTGATGTCTCCATACTTCCAACGTTGTCATTATCACCATACGTAGAAGTATTTCCTGCCCAATAGGTCCCGTAAGAACCATGAAAGATGCATATGCACCGGGTGCAATAGCGCTAAGCTTTTCGCCAGGAAGGTGGGATGTTTTCACCGTGCATAGTACTTCGCTTTAATGAAAGTATAGAAAGTTTTCGTACCTTACATTGGCTATCAACATTTTGTAAACCTTTTCTGCAGGCATTCCTCTGTAATCATTGTGCTGTTACTTTTTTCAAATGGAATACTCGTGTTCACGGTGAGTAACCTTCTTTTGACACTTTTGATTTATTGTACCTGCAGAATACTACGGCAAAATTTTGATTTTTGAGGAACCTGAGGAGAAAGTCTTTGTAAAAAATCGTTTGCATTAATTTTCAGCAAATATTTAAAAAGACCAGATTAAACTCATGTTTACAAAGCGAGCTTTCATAGAAGAAAAATAAGCTTGCCCGGATTAATAGGTAACTGTGGGACTAATTTCAAAATACTTTAAATGCCTGTGATTCCGGTAGACAGGATACCATACGATGAGATGAAATGTAATCAGAGATTATTTACCCAAACAAGTGGTTTTTATCATCTTTTGCTCAAATCAGAATTATGACAAGTAATTCATAGAAGCTAATAATAATTTGTCGAGCTGTATTAGTTAAGTACACAGTCACGCATTGTTAACATAATATTATTGTTAAAATCTGTATATGATAATGGGCGAAGGAACACAGAAAGAGACGTGAGTTGGGAGGGGAGGGGGATGCAGCGAGGGATGCCTTACAAAGCTATGTAAATAGATAGAGGTGTCCAAATCGAAAAAGTCTAGTTTCAAATCTCCCCATAAAGCTCTGAGAATTTCGCTACATATGATTTCTTTCCAACAAGCCTAGGTGCTCACTTTAAATTGCACATATTTTTTTCTTTCAATTTTTGAGGACAGTTTTGAACATTGCTTTCCTGATGTTCTCATATTCCCCACACCCACCCAGCTTGGTTCACCCTAAGGGTTGGATATTTGGTCATATTTGCGTGACCTTGGATTGTCTGCCGGCGAGTGCCCCGCAGTTTCACCACTCTATCACCAATCAAGCATTCCACATTCGTCTTGTTTCTATATTAGGAAGCTAAGCAACATCATAGCGTAACTCTAGCACTACTGAGCTTGCTCTTGAGTATTATTCGATCTTGATCTCAGGACATCTTCTTGTAAGTTGATGAACACACAACTCTAATTTACGCAAGTGCGCGACACTGGCTCTCATGATCAGCTGATTAAAACCGCAAATGTTTTTAAAATCACCTGCTGTAAATGATCCGGAAATCTATTGGGGCAGATGATGTGATTAGATTGTAACTCCCGAACTGCAGATTTTCGTGTACGGTGTGCACGGTCTTTGCAGAAGACTGAGTCATATATCGAGCCTAACCACCATCACAGGAATTGCATCGTCTCTATCTTAGTGACAAAAAGACTTACCATACAGGAAAAGCTCTCGAGACATTCCTAAAAATCCTGTCATAGGATCAGTAAAAGTTATGAAAAGAAGAGTCTCTTTCACTGTGATGTGACTGCAAGCAGAGAAATGTGCGTTTGTCCTTGCCCTTTCAAAATAGGCCTCGAGTACCTCTCAAAATCTGATATCTAACTCTTACTGATTTAATTCTAACAAAACACTTGGCTATCTGATTCACGTCGGGGAATTCCCTCATTTACAGTCATGATGACAGCATCGATGTCATTTGTAGAGTAAACAGATATGAGGAAAATGTGTCCCGCCCACATTCCTTACGGATGTCTTGACCGTTTAGCCCAGTGTTCTCTTTCATCTATGTATAAAAAGAATAGGGGAAGACTTTTAATTAGCAGCCATACAAATAATTTGAAGCACGCGATAACGCCACTGACTTAATCCGATTTAACTGTCATCATCCTAGGCAGAAATCACACAAAAAGAAAGAAGGCTTACATTTTAAAGACATTGCAAACCAGATTTAAGCTATATTTGTTTACGTGTGTGACAAATTTTAGATTTTAGGGGACAAGAAGGTTACTATGGGGGTCTAAGCATCAACCTAACTCCAAGCTGCTCGGAAGAGCGTAGACTGTACTTACGGCCAGTGTTCTCGTACATAAGTAACCCAGTTAAGAATTACCAGACTGGGTTGGGATTGAGGTGGCTTTGATCTCTTTCCGGAATACCTAGAGGTAGATCACATTTAAACAAAATTAAGTATGTCATGCTGTTTTCAAAAACATTTATCTCGCTTAAACTGTTCAGCGGGCTGATACGGAGAACCGTCTGCGTAACGCTGACAGCCGGGAATTTCAAAACACGGCAGACGGCGAGGAGTTTTATGAAGCATTTTACGAATGGTCTGTGTGGAGTCCATGCTCTCGCACCTGTGGGGTTGGCGTAAAGTTTCGAGGACAGCTATGCCTCAGGTAAAAAAATAGTTCGATTTTCTCTTGCGGTTGTGTATTGCTGTGCGACTGTAGTGATTCGCCGCTTTGATTTCGCAACACGTTCTCTTTTCCTAAATTAATCCAAATATCTCATTCCATTCTCGATTAGACGGTCTTATTTCACATGAAAGCGCTAGCTTAGAGGCGACTTAATGTTTTTGCTCAATAGTCTGAAATTTTTCTCACTACATTTTACAATAAACAGGAAGAACAAGGCTTTGTGTCAAAAGAAGTCCAGGATTTATCAAACGTGTAACACCCAGGTACGTCCCAAAATCCTCTATGCATGAATACAGCTGCTATGCTATACCGTTAAATCGTCAAAACAAACTGTTCAGGCAAACAGCCTGATTAATCGACGGACCAGCTGATACTTGCAGACAAAGTCTAAGTGACTGATATACAACAAGCAAAGACAGAAAAATACATGGAATAAAATTTAGATTGCTGCTTAATGTGCTGAAGAAAATACACAACGCCACATTATTCATCCCACAGCCTTGCCCCAAAGAAAGCGAGAATTTCCGTGATGTACAGTGTGCATCGTACAACGGAAGAGATATATTTATCAATGGCGAAAGAGCAAAATGGAAGTCATATAGTCGAGGTAATTGTCATAAATGGAATATTCGATCAACCTTTTAAAGGTAGTTTTTTTTTTTTTTTTGTAAACTCCCTAAAGCATGGCGAATAATTAAACATTATGATACTATGTTGTTTGGCATATCGAGGATGTCTATATGAAGTATGAAATATCATAACTTGCCTTTTTGAAAATTATTTCTTCGCATACTTCTAGGTGGCAACCAATGTTTATTGTTCTGCTATCCTGATGGAGAAGAATTATTTTATTACTTTGGAAAAGCCCGAGATGGGACACAGTGTTCCAAAGAACCCTACGGTGTCTGTGTACGTGGACGGTGCAAAGTAAGAATGAAACTATTATACTCACATCTAATGCAAAGTAAGAACTCGGGCATTCTTTTTTAGTTAAGACTTACTTTATGGTTGGGCTGCTAAGATAAATATAAAACAAGAATGACGAAAAGTGATGACGGTATAGTTGTCAGTCAATCCGTCGTTTTTGTTGCTGTTGTTGTTGCTGCTGTTTTCATCCCATTTTTATGAATATATTTTATTGCCGTTTATTTACCTTTAATTCATTTCAGTCCGTTGGATGTGACTACAAACTGGACTCGGGAGTGTATATGGACAGATGTCGAGTTTGTGGTGGAAATTCTACGACGTGTCAGCCAATGAGAGGAAGAATTCAAAGGTCTCCAACACTTTTTGAACGAATCTCAGGTAACTTGTGAGAGTTAATTGCAATGTTCTGAAATCATAATTACTTGATGAATTCTTCACTTATCAACTTCAGTTTATCATTCTGGTTCACACGCAATGGCAGCTCTTCAGCAAGGCTAGATTATTTCTTATCGATTTATTTTAGGAGAGGTTGGGGTGTGGGTGGAAGGGTTTAAACCTGCTCATAAAATAGAATCCAGGGGAGTAACTTTTTCATACTGAGAGAATTGAAATCACATCAGCCCTAGGACCCTCATAGATACAAAATGTAAGGCAAATATTTTTGTAAACACAGAAGATGAAATGAATATTGTAAAATTGTATTGCTTTTTTTCCTCAAATGAAGTTTTCAATATTATCTATGATTGAAATCCAACAGGCTACGCAGATTTGATGGTGATACCTAAGGGGGCAACGAGTGTTCTGATCACAGATAATACGTGGAACTACCTAGGTAAATCGATTACACTCAATAATGATTTCATAATCTGCCGGAATCATTGACTGAATAACTGCGACTGACTGATTCTCACTAACTCAATGAGTCTGACTCCCAAAGACTGACTGACTCTCTGATTAATGTCTTTGATCTGACGAGGAGCTAACGCTCCAAACGTCAGCTTTGAAACTCTATACGGTGGCCAATTTACATTATTAATTCAGTAAATAAAACCAAAACTGTCTCGTTATACTCCCCTACCAACACACGCAGCCCCACAGTTTCTTTATTCATTTAACTCTCTGTCTTACTCACTCACTTACTATCCTGCTGAGTCATTGCCAGGTCATCGACCTCATAACTGACCGACTGATTTATCAACTGACTGATAGGTTGGAAAACTTGTACTTCGATAGAGTTAGCTGGAAAATTTTGACATTCTCTCTCTCTCTCTTTTTTTTTTTTTCTTTTTTTTTCTGTATCATTGTTTATGCTATCAACCACTTTGTGGTTATCGTTTTGGACAACCTCAGCTCTCAAAAAACAAAATGGTAACTATGTTATGAATGGTAATCGCATCGTCAATTGGTCTGGCATATTCAAAGTTGGTGATGTCGAAGTGCAGTACGATAGAATCTCAAACAACATTAAGGAGACGATTGAGATAACTGGGCCCACAAAAGAAGACATTACTGTAATGGTGAGCATGAATAAATTTTTGTTTTCCCTGAGTAAGTATATTATACGATTGAAGCCTTGCAAAGTATCCTTTTTTGTTATTTACTCAAGCTGTCTCTTAGGTATTTACCCTGATGTTTAAGATCCTTTAAACATACTGTTTAGAAGATCTAAGGAGATCTGCTCAGAGATTGCTTAAGATTGTATAAATAATAATAATAATAATAATAAAACGTTAGGCACTTACAAAGGTGATACTTTGGCAAAGTCACATGCCTATTTGGTAAAACAATAAAACTATTTAAAAATGCTTCATTTTTTATTACAAATTTTAAATTATATTTTTAATTATTTGTATTTCCTTCATTGAACTTGTTACAACTTATCATTTCAATAGAATGCTTAGCATAGGTTTTCGGTATTTTTGCATTAGCTGGACTTTATAAAAATTGTAGCGACTAACATATCATTACAAATCCACAGTCTCTATTAATGGCGGGTAAGGTTAATATGAGCTTTGAGTATTGGAGAGCAGGTGGAGTTTACGCCGTTGGAGGTATGTGTTATTAGCCATTAGTAGCTCATAAATAGGGATATGACCACTATTTGACATTTTTTACCTTCATTCTACGACTAATTGACCTTTCCCTTGACCTCTAGCTTAATTGCTTTTACGTGACAGTTGCTGTATGTTCACATGGCTCCTTGCGCTCATAACAATGTTATCAGCGTCGTTTTGTTGTCAGCTACAGGGTTTAATCCTCAATTTTTCCTAGGCTGATACACCCGTTAATCGTGCTCCTTTCAGAAACACCGCAAGTTGAGAAGGAAAACCACGTAACCTTACAAATGGGCTGGGGAAGCTGGACTACCTGTTCCACTTCCTGCGGAGGAGGAATCAAAGTACGTTCACGATACCGCGCTATAGAGGCAGTTGCATCATTCCGTGACAAGGAGACTGATGTCCAGAGATGCAACACTGAACCGTGTCATATGATGAAAGCCGCCTGGTCAGAGTGGGGTGCTTGGGATGACTGCAGTGCTACTTGTGGAGGAGGAGCCAGGATCAGGTTTCGAAACTGCAAGAAGCTCAGCGCCTCTTCCAGATCTGGATGCCCTGGAAAACCATATGCTGTGGAACAGTGCAACGCAGAAGAGTGTCCTAAAAAGGGTGGGTTTTGGATTCCATTTAACTTAAATACGAGGATACATTTTCTAGTTCAAAAGGGGAATAGTGGCCTTTCCGTTGTGGTTTTGCTCTAAGTATTTTCCTTTTCATTTCGGCAGTATCAAAAAAAATAAAGCAGAAGCTCTCTACCTCATCAAAGTCTTACTGGGAATAGTATGTGGACAAATTTGTAGCTTCAGCGTGGCGTTTTGTTCAAGCAACAACAACGCTGATTTTCCCGATTATAAACAAACAGTGAAAACAATCACAGTCAACTGCAGTACATAAACGGCAACGAATAAATCAATATTTGTTTCCAGTGTTTCAGAATTGAGATGCTTTTATTTTTATGCCTTTCTTCTTTCCTGAACAGAAACAAGGCCAGGTACGTCAAAAGTGCTAAAACACAGTTCATCGTCGATGGTGACCACATCCTCGAATCTGCACTCAAGGGAGTCTTCAGAAGGAAGGAAGAAACTAACAGAGTCGTTAAGAAGGCCACACGCCTCTAGATTAAGCTCGGCTTCTCAATATCATGAACGTCATAAAACTTACACAGAGAAATTATCACAGGATATAGTGCAGACTGTATTTTCAAGAGGGAAGCAGGGGTATTCTATTTCTTATACTATAAATACATTACCAACTTCAAGGTCAAGACTTCTTTTTTCATCAGTAAACCAGACCTCGACTGGTTACATTATTGGACTTCCCACAAGAAGTCTGAAGGAGACTTCTAGCTTATCTAGTAAATTCGTGCGTCTGCAAGTTACATCATTTTATCGCAAACATACATCGTCCATGTTCCCAGTGAAAGAGAAACCAGAGTTGCTTACTTCGCCTGTAAGGAAAGGTACGCATACCAAAATCTTTTCACGTAGTTCCTCAACGCCATTACTTGATGTTGGGGGAGGCTTAAGTGTATTTTCTACAGGCACCTCAGTTCCAGCAAGTTATGAAATTGTTAGACCGTCTGTGGGTTTTATGGCCACTTCCAAGGCGTCTAATTTGCGAACGACTTCCATAGGGTTGAAAGTCTCATTACACACTGGTGTTACACCTCGTCCGAAGGAAGTCAATAATCCCACTATTTCCTTTGGATATGAAACGATATCAAGTCAAGTTGACAGGAAGTCTGTTTTGGCTTCATTCAGTAAAGAGACTATTGAGCAACCGGTATCGATATATAGTAGGCAGGAATTGGTACCCAGTTCAAAATTGAGTAGAGCTGAAAGGACTTCATCACACCAATACCCTGTTGACGTAATGGGACTCAAAAGCCGCGAAGGGAAACACCCCTCAGTAACCTTATCATCGGCAAGTGAATTTCGCACAGAGCCATCTATACTTTTAACCACGCCATTAAAGAGCATTCCATCAAGTTCCAGTGAGACATTGAACTCATCTATGATAGACATAAGAAGGATTGAACTGCGCCTGGAAGGTTATAGTGACATTACTTTGCAAAGTCGTAAGAAAACAATTCTCTTAACAAAGAATTTCAGTGCTAGCCATGATTCCCTACCTTTTGAGATAACAGAAACACTCAGACCTGGTTCGTCATCAACCATGAATGTTTTACCTTCTAGGCCAACAAGCTCTAAAGTAATGTACGAAACAAGCGTGCTTGAATTATCAACAAACACTACTTTAAGTCAAATCTTGGAAATAAGATCAGAATCTACATCGGTTTCCTCGACTCTCCATCTGTTGCTTCCCCCATGGCAAACCTTAACAGACTACCTCTTCCTACATGGATCATCGAAACCAATACCTCAGACGTCAAAGCTGATGTCATCTCAAATAACTGATTCAAGAAAGATGAACACATCTTACAACATATCCAAACTTCATTTTCTCCCTCTTAGAAGCTCCCTCGTTAGCATCGCAACCTCGTCTCAACAGTTTGCGAGGACTGCATTGTTAAAGCCACAATTTCAATCAACATTTTCAATTGAAAAGAACATGGGCTTCAAGTCAGCGTTTTCTATATCTGGTATCTATGAATCCCCAATCGTCACTAGAAAGAATTCTAATGATTTTGCCTCATCAACATCGTCATCATTATTCTCACTGTCATACATGAAGTTAAGTCAACCACTAAAAAGAAATCCAATGACCGATTCACTTTCAGAGAAAGGTTCTCTTTCAAAAACAAAAATAGCGGTAATTTCAGAGCGCTTAGCAAGGACGTCACCTACAAATCCAAACGGACTATTTTCTTCAGCGAACGAATCGAAGCCTCTGTCACTCTCTCAGGAAGACTACCCTTTTATCAAAGTAACAGAATTCTTGTCATCTGGCCAGGAAACAAAAAGTAAAGCAGCAATTACTAGTAAACAACATTTTCCGGAGTCGTCCACCCAAGCAACAATGCCATTAGTGGCGTCATCTTTCAACACATCAATACTTCCGTCAGCTTCCTCGGCTGCTAGGATAATTTCGTCACCATTGTTAGATATTTCTGGAGGTTTACTTTCAAATAAAGAAATAAAATCATCAATTTCACTGGGATTAACCTCTATAACAGAAACAGAGGCCATGGCCATGAGTTATTCAAAATCGTCATTGCTTTTAAGGCGGATTCTGTTCTCAGTTATGTCTTCAGAACTTACTCCGTCGTCACCGAGCACTCTCTCCTCACAATACCGAGGCGTTACTTCCGCAATGCCAGGAGAAGTCGGCGAACATATGCAGTCATCTTTCTATCCAAAATCGAGCTCCACGAAGAAAGTGAAAGAAACTGAAAATCTTGCCAGAGGGTACAAATTCCACACGTTGTCATCCCATTTCAGCTCACAAGCTAATATCAAAGCTACGTTTATTCACCTAGTGTCTCTTGGAAGTCATTTCCCAGAACAGCTATTCCCATCACCAACATCTATAGATTTAACCTCAACAAAAAACATGGAAGAAAATATTGGCACTTTGAATTACTTAAAATATCCGCTACAAAAGCGTGACACACTAACATCAAAGCATGTTTCCCTTACCTCAATGCCAGAACGAAGTCTCACGGAAGTCCTCGTGCATTCTTTAAAAACGCCATTATTGCAATCAGTGCTTATTTCCAGGCATTTACAGCTTTCTTCTTCATTACAAAAAGAGCATTTGGCAAGTAAAAAGTTTTTCGCTACACCAGCTGTATATCCTTCCTCGCGGCAATTTTTCTTAGGAAGATACGACAAGGGAAGAATAAGTAATACAGGTTCTCTCACATTTTCGCCGTCATCGCAACATATCCCATCATCAATACCTCATTTGAATAGCCCAGAACATGTAGGGGTTACTACAACTTTGCTATACTCTTCAAGAACTTCATCATCTCATGATGAAGCTCTTCCATTGATTTCACCGCAAGCGAGTCCGTCATCAATGAGTAAATTTAAAGATAATTCCATCTCAAAAGATGAGCGGTCGGCAATTCCAACCTTCAGCTATGCCGAAATATTCTCGTCGTTGAAGGATCAGGAATTATCGCCAGAACGGCTACCTACCAAGAAAGCAGACTCTTCTATAAACTTAAGAGGTTACTCGGAAAGTTCATCGAAGCAGCCCTTTCTCTCTTTGAAATCATCCTATAGAAGCGGTCTGCCGCAGTCTCTCACTCTACTTTCTAAGCAAGATAACTTAGCTCCTCAAACAAAAAGCCAAATGAGTTTTTTGATAGCCTCTCCTTCGGTTGTGTCGTTGGGATCTGGCTCAGCGGCAAGTAATTATGACGCGGCAAGACGTTGGGAACAGGATTCTGTATCAAGACCATTGCTATTGTCTAAATCGCCATCATTATCACCGACGCAGCTAAGCCGAACCAAGACACCTAAATCACAAACCCTCATGGTACACTCATTCAGCGACTCGTCATCAACTAAATTCACAACATCTTCATTGTCTCCAGATGTGATCGCGGTGCGGGACAAAACAGCGGTGGAAAGCTCAGTAAAAGATCAAACAGGAGATACCTTAACAAAAATTCCCACGCTTAGACCATACAGCTTCTTGATAGAAGCACAAGGAAGTAGTATTGTCAAAAATTTCAAAACCTCTGAGCTAGAACAGGAAATACTACTCTCAACAGTACAGTTTAAATTGGTGAGCAAAACAGAAATCGCACCAGAAGCCAAAGAACCCCCAAGAATATCCTTCAGCATACGTCCAATGCCATCAATTATATCTCCACATAGTAGCTTACACCCTGGAGCGGGAATCACGAGACTATGTAACGATTCTTTCAAGACGATGTATGAGATGCCCTCTTTTCCTCCTTCAAAGACAACCTCAGAAATAAATGTTGAGTCCACCTCAAGCCTTTTGCCACATCTTTCGTTGAAGTTTTCACCAGATCCTACCTCCTCAGCGGACGCGCAATCCATTGTAGGACAACTGCATTCTTCGTCAATGCAGCACATTACGTTGTCGAATATTCCGCCTTCTAGCTCACCTGTACAACTAGACACCGTGAAAAGCGTTGTTGGGTCTTTGAAAATGGCTCCTTCATGGGAAACAGACGAATCGCCTGTAGCTGCCCGTTTTAACTCCACTCAAATAAGCATAGCAATCTTCAGTGAAAATCTATCGCGTTTCTCATCGAGCAAACAAGTGTTAGCATCAGCGTCTCGGCCATTGAGCTCATCATTAAAACATGAAGTCAGAGCGAGTGTAAATAAAGCGCATTCTATAAAAAGCTCTCCAGCGGGACAACGCACAATACCTCTTTCTCAGCAATTGAGCTCGGCAGTGAAAGAACAGGACATTACAAACCGAGTTTATTCTGTTGCGTCATTGTCATGGAAACCAAAGTTAATGGCAGAAAATTCAGTTTCACTGAAACTGTATTCAAGAGAGGATGAAACTCTATCGTTGCCATCTTCGCCAGTACTCCCAAACTCCAAAGTAAAAAGTACGCTAAGCCTGAGGGAGTCATTTGGCATTTTTTCTTCAAGGCATGGAGTGTCAACATCTTATGTTCAGGGAATCCCAAATCCTATTTCTGAGATTACGAGAGGCATGGAGGACTCAACAAAACCAATCCCGGTAAGGCATGCAAAGCCTTTGTCGCTTGCTTCAATGATCAGTTCTAGTCCAGATATGCAATCTATGAGAAGCCTGCTGGTTTCCTCAACAACTCTATCTTCAAGGAATCATACGGGAATGATATCTTCTCGATTAACCTCAGAAAAGCCCATCACAAGCCTTCCGAAATTGAAAACTCTTTCAATCAGACGAGAAAATGTAATTTTAGTAAGTTCTTCACCCAGTGGAACTCAATTTCATTCCAAAACGCGAAAGAATTCTTTAAGAGGTTTTTCACCTTCCAGGCATGAGGCATTCCCACCGTCTCAACAACGTAGGTCTTCTCTAAAAGAGGACGGCATGACAAGTCCCATGGACTACTCAGTAAAAATGTTAAGCCATGAAGTCATGTTATTAAGCTTATCCTATGGTCAAGAGTGGCTAGAAAGTTCGAATTTGCCTGTTTCGTCCACTTCTGATAAGCAAACTCAAAGTTGCAGCTCAACGCATTTCTTTCCGTCAACTTCATCTTCAGCGGAGAAAATCCTCCAGTCAACTACTGCTACTACTCATACAACGAATCCAGAAGGAACACGTAAGTGGTGTTACAGAGTTTCATTTGCTGTTTTCCCTATTTTTAAAAAATTAGCGGAAATTGTTAGCATTTTGAGTTCAGATTAATTTTTTGCCGGAGTCAGTCTTTTATGATTCAACAAGCAAACAAACAAAGTCTTGGATGCAGATGAAAATATTGTTCACTCGTTGCCCAATAGACCAGGAAAAGACACGTTTGTGCATGACTGGTGAGCGAAAAAAGGAAAAAGAGTATTTGAAAGTACATGTAATTATCAATTCTCGTTTCAGCAACTCTCTGTCCTCGGTGCGGTTTGTCAGAGAGACTACACGAGAAGTACTGTTCAAGCGATTTTGGTAAGTGATTGTTCCCATTGAGAAGTTTTCACGTAAGGGGTCAATTATGGTAGAATGAAAACCACACACATATTAAATGCTCTCTTGTTTAGCAATACTTAGGGCTTAGGCTCAGTCTACGTACCGTACAAGTCAGTTGCTCTCAACTTTCCACAGTCTATGCGTGCTTTCGCTTTTCAACCTTGAGACCTCGAACAATTTTGGAGTCACAGAAATATACAGATATGAAGTAAAATAATAAATCTTGCTGGCGAGCAGATTTCCCGGATTACCTGATTTCGAACGGAAGGTGTTACACATAATTGAGTCCTCACCAGAACCTTGCAACGGAATGATTCTCGAACCTTACAACGGAATGATTCTCATCAAAATACACACGGTGAGCGGTAACATGATTAATATTTAGATGCTGATCAAGATTAACTTAAACCGTAAATCATTAGAGGCCTAAAAGATCACGGTACGTTTTTAATTTTACCGTTTCGAACAAGATCATTGACCTCTCCTTAACTTTTTCGTATCAACAGCTATACTTGTTCGCGTTCGTACTGGGGCAGTCACGAACGGAAGTGAATCCTCTCATCTGACCAAAATAAGAAGAATATTCAAGACGAATAAACCAGTGAAAAAGAGGCCTGAGCTAAGGTTTACCATCGGAGATTGTAACTGCAGACCTGATCTCTTGCTGAAGAGGGATTATTTTGTTTTTGGCAATAATGTGCCATGGAACAGAACGATATCGATCTTAGAAGTTAATCAAGATAGTTTCGTGGCTGAATGGAAGGAGACATTGGAGGAAGAAATAAAACAGTTGGAAGGAAGATGCTCGAGACACTCCACAATTCCTACTCCACGAATTTCATCGACTGTCGCACAGGTTACAAGTTCATCTTTGCATCACAAAAGAAAATCAGTTTCTGACGGTACGTTACCTGATTCACTCTAAATCTTAATCACGTTTGAAACCTAGAAAATGGTGTAACGTTGTTTTTCAATAACCTTAAACTTTCTTTTTTTAAATACAGCTTTGTTGTCGACCCATAGTACTCAAATAGAAACACCTACTTCCCTAGTGACAACTGAAGGTGAGTAGAAGAAAGTCTTAAACTCAATTTTTATTGTCTAATAGAGCAATTTTCAGTTGAGAGTCTAAATAACCCGAGATTGTTTCTTTTTTTTTTTTTTGCTTAACTTCGCTCAGTGATTGGTCCTAGAGAACTTGCACCACTTTCGCAACCATTCAGTTTCAAGCACAATATCAATCAGAACTTGGTCGCTCTCTTTTTCCCGCTCTTTAAGCAGGTTAACTTCTTTGCTTAAACCTTGGTTGTTTATTATTGTTGATAGATAAATTCAAGTTCACTTCAGTTTCCATTTGCATTGATTTGGTAATTTGCAGAAAGTTGTGGCCCATGTGGAAATCTTTTCAGAAGGACCAGGGCGTACTGCACGAGCGACTTCGGTAAGTAAATATATCACGGAGATATACTTTGTTCGTTTGTCTCACGATAAAGTCGCTTTTTATGTTGATTGCCACGTTTCGACTGCAATACGGCTAGTCTTCATCAGGCGATGTGGTCGATTGTTTACGTGTCGCTGTTTGTAGCACTTTGGCACGCTGCTATTGGTGCATTTCGATCCTGATTATTATTTCGGTTGTTCGATAGTGTTCCCTCATAGGTCCTTATAAATCAGCTGTTGTGTTGTTTGATCGTGGGTATTCAAGCCTAGGGAATTTTGATTCCGCTATCCCTATGGATGTTTCTGGGATAAAGTCTTATACGGATAGCCTCTTTGACCCTACGTTTGTACAATTGGGGGTCACTATCAATAAACTAAACCTTGCTCCAAATAGAAATATGCACCGTTTCGTTAGCGTGATCCAAAACCGCAAAGGTTTGAGTATGAGAAAACCGTATGTCTCTACTTTTAGGAACTTTCTTTAGCTTGTTCAAAACCTTTTTTTTCTTTCAGTGGTTCATGTTAGGATCTTAACTGAAGCTATCGACGAGTATTCTCACGACACAAAATATCGCGTCCAACTGATTCACATTTTCAAACTTACCAGAGGCGTAACAACGATAGGAACGGTCTGGATACTAAACAATTCATGCCGTTGTCCATTGCTTCTCCCTGGGAAACAGTACCTTCTTATGGGTAGCTTAAGCTTCTCTGCGGCGAAAACTGAGCCAAAAGCAGAAATAAATAGGCAAAGCTACGTAGAGGAATGGAGAGGATCAATGATACGTCGACTACCACAATTGCACAAGAGGTGTTCTCCCTTTACTACAGAGATGGTGAAATTTCTAACAAAGACGTCTGCCAGAATTACAAGTACGAATAAGATACTTTTTTCTTGCCCCATGCTCATTTAGAGCATCATGATAGCCTCGTGTAACGCTGGGTTTGCCTTACTCTTGACCAAATTCGAATGACATTTTTTTTTTTAACGAATAATAACATGATGATAAAACTAGAGGTACTGATAAGAAAAACAGTAATGATCATAATAACGATAAAAATGATGGGGATAATGGTAACTTGAATGATGATGATGATGACAGTAGTAGATTGTGGCAGAAAATAGAAGATAAAGCAGACTCAGCTTTTCACATATTCGTCGTTTATTGACATCTTGCGCGTAACTTCTTTCAAAAAAATGATGCTTGGTTTTATTTTACAGGTATTGTATTCTTAACTTTCTTTTCTAATCATCAGCCCATTCGCTCTTTTACTTTAGAAGTAAGTGCTTGGCATATTGTAAAAGAATACCAAAATGTTACTCATAAGCTTCCAGAATCTTTACTCTTATTCCTACGAGTTCCGATTAGACTTGTTCCAGTGGATTATATTTTACTACTTAACGTTTTAATATTTGTTTATTCTTGATCTACAAAACTGACTTTACAGGCACAATTTTTTCGACAGCAACAGCAGAAGAAATTACGACACAGCCGCCCGTCACACTACCATCAACGGACCTACCGAGTGGTAAGAGATAGAAAATTTTCCTCAAAAGAAAAAAAAAACTCTAAACTTTAGAAGCGAAATATTATGGATTGGATCTTTTTCTTTCTCTTCCTGACCGATCTAACTTCTTTCTCGAAGCAATCAGTTTGAAAACGAAAACAAATTTATAGTTAAACAGTTTCTTTCCGTTTTTCTTTAACCAAGACCCCCCAAATTATCGCATATAACTATTTTACACGTACTGTCCCTCTTGCCCCAAAAAACTTCGAAATATGTTTACTGCAAATTACATTCTGTGCCCGGCCAGTAGAGTCTATTTCCTGTTACTCAATACGATTGAAATGAAAATTTTGTTGGACACTAACAAATTCTAGCGACTATATCACAAATTTATTCCAATTTTTTGACAGCAGCCTCTAGTTTTACAGCTTGACTAACACCTGTTTTCTTGTCATATTATTTCACAGCAAAATGCCGTGCATGTCAAATATCAAGGAAACGGAACAAATACTATTGTGACAGTGACTTTGGTAACACCCTCTGATATTTGTGTTCATATGTTACAATTAAAATACAAATTTACAGCCTAGAATTTTATACGTCCAGGGTTCAATGTTATAAATCTTATTTAACCAAACATTATCGAGCTGTTGTAGGAATCGTACCATCACCAACTTTCAATTAATTCCTTGTGCTCAACTAACGCTCAGCCCTATTACTGAGTTCAATATGCATGAGGTTTCATTTTCACCTCAACTGTGTATACAGTTTTTAGCAGTTTTAACCCAAAATTGATAAAATTCCTAATTTGAATTTGACAGTTTTTTTATTTTCTTTGAATTCCAGTTGTCCGAGCCAAAGTTTTGAAAGAATCGTACAACGAAGTTCGTAAAGAAAGAAGATATCGAGTAAGGATCATTGCAGTGTTCAAAAGCAAAAGGAAACTGGAAAACCGAGATGATATTTTTGTATTTAATGACTACTGCAACTGTCCTAAACTCCGAATGAAAGAGCAGTATGTAATAATGGGCAAAGAGGAAAGGAACACAGGACTAGAAGACCTTGGCTCATACTCTCAACTAGTGATTCCTCCAAGACCATTTGTTTGGAAGTGGAGGCCAAGAATGACTGCTGGACTTAGATCGATTAAAGACATCTGTGGCAATTAAGTAAATCGCCAAAACTCATTTCAAAGGCTTCCTTAACATCCACAAAAGCAAAACAAAAAGGCGAGATATGGAGGCACAACAATTCATTGTTTTCTATGAATGCCTCGTGCTTCGCAAAGTCATTTATCAAGAAACTAATATCTAATGAATTCAGTACCTGTTTTGTCTTGTGTGCGCGGTAAAAAGTCATCCTTTGTTTTCATATCGCATCGATGTGGCTCTATATAGCAACGTAGAACCATTGCTGTCAGCCCATCATTGTAGTTTTTAATAATACATTGACAACTCTGAAGAGCTACGTTCCGGTAGCAGAACAGCAAGGATAACTTCATTGATTATTTAATAAAAAGATCTTGATTATTACGATTTTTCATTCTTATTTTCTTGTTGTTTTTTTTATTACAAAAACATGTGTCTTGATCTGCTCACATACGGTTATTGCAATTTTAAAGCGAACTGAATATTTCCTTCACTGAGACATAGCACAAATCACAATTAAACAGTCTAAAAACATACAGCGCAGGTAATAAAAGCTAATAAATACAAATTCAATGGAATCTCTTGTCAGTAAAGGAAAATTTTTCTCTGGTCTTTACTGTATCTGTCTCTACAACTGGCCCGCAGCAAACCTTGTTCGACAACATGAAGAATCACTCAGGAAAAATCAACTTTGCAGCATTGTCTACTTGAATAAACAGTGGTAAACCCTAGATTGTCACGATATATTTGCTTGAATCAATGTCTGGATTTCATTTTTTTGTTTGTTTGACTAGTACTGAAACTTACGTCAACTCTCACATACGAAACGAAAAGTTATTGAAAATCTCACTGGAAAGCGGTGCAACTTTCAGTTGACTTTCAAAAGACCCAAAACAACAACAGCCCATCAGAGCGAAAGTCTTCACCATCGATAGCCGATGAGAACTCAAAGCGAACCACATGAAATGCAGGAAAACTCGAGTGACCATATCACTACTGTTTTTAGTCGTGAATCTGATTGGTTGAGGTAGCGCGAGTTTTCTGGACCAGTCAGGGCGAAGTTGAGTAAAACCAAAGGAATCTTGGATTGCTTTGGACTCTTAATTAAAATTTGGCTGCAGATTATGTTCATTTGTTCTGTCTTTCTCAAAACTTGAGCTGGACCCCAAGAAGTGATCCTCCCATTGATTCACAAAAAGGTTAGCTCGTGGTAATTGGAATCGAAATCTTTGATAATATCCCTAAGGGATGTCAGCCTGTTTGTATGAATCAACTCGCAAGCTTGCGAAATTCTCTTGAAGTTGAAAGAGAAGCAGTTATGTACACGAAGACAGCTAAAGGCGCAGGAGAAATCGTCCCATGCGTGTACCGTCTCAATCACATGACCTTCAAGGGCGGATCTCTCTGCTGAGTATGAGATTAATGCCCCAGATTCTCTCTCGGCTAAGAAGAATCAAAGGATATTTGAGAGTTAGAGATATCTTAAAGATAATTTTGGAGTGTGGAGCTCACTAGCCATTTGAACTTGACATGCATGTTCAGAGACAATGCGACGGTCGTAAAGTGATAAATATTTTCTACCACTGACCGTAAACTGTCTCGAAACACAACTTTTCAAATATGCAGCGATTGCAAGACTGATAGAAAATGTTTTGTGACATAAGGTTTGGATCCACTGGAGTAATAGTTAATCTGTGCTATGATCGTCTGAGCTTAAATTTTTAGTGCGCTTTTTTACCTGTTGAAAACGAACAATCAATACAAACGAAATAAGAACAAAACCAATTTAAAAGAGCCCACTAGTTTTATGCACCGGTATCGCAGGATGAAAAAAAAAAAATTCTGCACCGGTATCGCAGAGGTCATGGGTTCATATCCCGTACGGGCCTGAATTTTTTTTCAGGTCCTACTTACAACTACTAGTTTCAGTAGTGTTCTTAGCTGCGAGGATCTTCTAATTTCATAATAGAGACTTACGATCATCAAGGAAACCGTCCTTGATGAAAGGACACAAAAATAAAAATGAAGTAGAAAATTGTCTTTAATTACATTCACTTCACGCTTGAACCTCCCCCCCCTCCACAAAAAATCGAAAACCGGTGTCTCAGGAACAAAATTTTGGTTACGCTTCTCCGTTCATTAAGTTTCTTGCGTTGGCTTCTGCTTTGATTCGCTTGTTTATTAGACTCTCACAGACCACGTATTATTCGAGAAAAAGTTACATGCAAATTAAGTTGTATAGGGTAGGAATCATCTGTTTTGTGTATTAAGAATAATAGTTTCTCAAAATTTTCTTTTCTTCATCGTTCGTGTGCCCAAATTAAAGCGAACACAATTTCTAAAAGAAATTATCCTAAGTTCAATCAATAGTATTTCACTTTTTTTAGCATGACTTTCTCACTGCTAACATGACCCTCAAAGTATATTTTGTGGAAATATAATAACATCAAACCTGATGATAAGATTACCTTCGTTGTTGGATAATTAGGTTTTCCGAAAGTTCAAAGTCAGAGTTTGAGTACGGGTAAAATTGTAAGCTCTATTTACCTTGAAGACCCAAAACAGCCACAAACTCGACATGATCTCTTCTGTAAAAACGGTGTTTATTTAAACGTGAATGAACCAAAGTATTCTCACAATCATAGCGAGTTAATTACTTTTTGAATTGTTGACGATTTAAGCGGAGCGTAAATTATGGCCAAGGCAATCAGCCAGGGGCAGTTCAGTTTTTCTTGGAACGCAATATAGTTAAAATGTTTTTATTTTAATTTTAAACTGTACAATATCACATGGTATTTGTTGTAAAATACAAAGAAGAAGTTAGAACCTTTCTGCGGGGCGTTTGGTATATGTCCAGCGTGTTGTCTTAAAAAGCAGATAGAGATTTATTATGTAAATTTTCACCTTGCCAGCCTAAGCCGTAGGAACCTCAACGAAACAAATTGTATAGGTTGGTTTTTTCACACTTTTTCCGAAGCTCGTTTGATTTGCTCCAGGTTTCTCACCTCTTCTGCAAACACTGAGGAAAAATTAATTGATTTTGCCTAATCAAAAGTAGCCGCATCGAATATCATTATTGGCGGTACTTTTGTTTTCGATGTTTGTAAACTAGCAACGTAAATTAGCCGTGGCGCTTTGTGAATCATGAACCATCATGCTTTCTGAGAATTCCACTTCGACACTTTGGTTTCTTTGGGAACGAATATCTCGGAATAAATGTATTACATGATGTGCCAGTATAATAAATTCCATGGTGGTATATTGGTGCCAGTATATACCTCCTAACTCAAAAATTAAACTCGGGTGTCGGCGTCGTCGATGCTCGTGTGCTTTCGTACTGAGTAGCAATTATGAGTGGTCTTGTCAGTAAGTTTCGAGTTTTTATATCAATATTCCTTCTTCAGATCCTCTTTTAAAGCGTTTTACTACTAAGAATGCGAAAACATTTTTTTCTTGAGGCCGGTTGACACTTAAACTTGATGCGCTTTGAAAGTGAACGACCTGATCACATGTGAGTCGATAGTTCAAGTTGTTGTTTTGCTTAAAACTTAACGAGTTTTGTTCCCGTAAGAGTTCAGTAAGTTTTGGCCATGGCACGTGACACGCTATCCCCCAGTCGGTAAGAGGATTGGGTTGGGAGTTCGAAATATAACAATTAGAAAACCAAACAGGCATAAAAACAGGCATAAATCTTAAGCAACCATTGAAACCAAAATCGTACAGCGTCAGAAAAATCGTGTCAAGTCTTATTTTCTATAAGAATTCTAACTCGTAATAGCTGTATTGGAAGTCCATGATAAGATCTTTAGGTGACGTCATCTTGTTGGAGTGGTTCAACTCGCAAACTTGTGAACTTTCTTTGAAGTTGAAAGAAAAACAGCTCTTTGTATGAAGACAGCTTAAAGCGCATGAGAGATCATCCCATGCATGCGTCGTGACGATCACATGATCTCTTAGTCTGGAGCTCTTACTAAAGGAGACGATGAATCCGGGTTTCCTGTCGACTAGAGGAACAAAAAGGGTTGAAACAACTAGTAACGTGAAAGTGAACAGCCAATGGAGGCCAGATAACCGGCGGAATGCAATGATACTAGCGCTCTTTGACCCTTAAGAACTAGGATTGCGAAAACTTGTAGTTCCACCAACCGCTCTTGTCTTCGAGATTAGTACGGTGTTTATTAACAGAGTAATCTGGAGGCGAAAACTAATCAGCGAGAATTTAAAAAAAAAAAAAAGGATTGAGAGCTTAAAACGTCAGATTCTATTTTTTTGTTTGTTTTTTTTGTTTTGTTTTTGTTCTCTGACAGTTGGTTTGTTTGTTTTTTTCAGTTGTTGTTGTTGTTTTTTTGTATCTGTGCAAACACTAAATAGTTATATTTCTGATAATTTCAATTTTTCCAAATTCTTTTTGCATTTGCTTGGTTTTCGCAAACAAATTGAAAAAGTGAAAGTTTCCGAGTCTCACTGCTCTCTAGGGAAAACCATGCAATATTTAGTCTTCGTGATAGTTGAATGCTTCGGAAATGAAATGCAAGAATTTCCATACCATTACCAAAAGTACTTACTTACACTGAACCTTGCGTCTAAATTTCGTATGAATTGTTTAAATTCTGCCCTGGCCAACAATTAAAGATCAACAAGCAAACAATTGCCGTTATTTACCTTTACAAATCGTAGAAATGAGGGCATTCATAGTTGACTCATCACGAGGCGAATTAGCTATAACCACATGATTTTCGGAGGTGGCAACTGACTGCAGTGGCGCTTTGGACGCATTATTACTAACTGCCAGGCTGATAATGACAATCCCATCATCCTTTACCTGCTGAGCAGCACTTATGCCCATGTCTGGAACTGTTTAAAGAAAAGCGAGATTTCTCCTCAGGTACATAAAGGATGGTACAATTTCATTTTGATTCCTATATATCGTTGTGGTTGATATAACAAAATCTCGTTTGCTAAGTTTTGGACGTTGAAATTAGTCGAAGTGAAGAATTACGTTTAGTGCTATTCGCGTGCACGATACAAGTCTGCTCACTCCTCCAACGGCAGAATAAATCTTGTTTAAATAAATTTTTCCATCTGGTCACGATTCTAAGCTTGAATGTTTCAGTCCCACACAAAAGTAAGAGGGAAGTCGACAATAACTTCCAAAATGCAATGGAATTTGATACGAATCATTTTGATGGAGCACAATGCTTTTCACGGTATAATTAGAACAAAAAGAATCTAAAATAACCCACGATCTGGTCAAAGAAGCAATTTCTACTTATCTAGGGTTTCCTAGTTTTATTGCCTTTGCTCGTTTTTGTACGCTGTGAGTGGTAACCACCAATTCTCAAGTCAATCGGTCTATTTGACTTCTTCTACAATATCAACATTGCATACTGAATCAATGAACTTCGAGTAGGAAACTGAATCACTTTTCTACTCACATGAGTAGCGTCCATTTGACCCAAACACCAGTACTCGTCGTCGCTTGTGTTGTTCACTACTTTGTACCAGATTCATCTGTCTGTGAGCCTCATTAAATGCAAGTAATGTGTTCGCCTCTCCTGCCCATTGAGTCACCCCACTCAAAGCATTTTGTATTGCTGTTTTATCTTGAATATTTTTCAAGGAATGTATAATATTCGAAGATTGTGCGAAGCTCAGAATTCCGACATGAGTTCCTAAAAATGGTGATTTTATATTTTAAATTCATACGAATAATCTTATTGGCTGAATAATAATTTTTTTCCATATTTCAATTGCGTTGATGAGATATGTCCTTCCAAAACTTTGAAAAATGTATGTATGACCAGATGCACACCCTCTCTCTGCTTAAATCTCCTGCATGTAATGCCTCCCCACCCCTTCTCTTACATGTTTACCCAATCAGATTCAAATTCGTATATGCACAACCTTTGGAAAATTCACGGTGGAAATGATGCATTGAAATCCCACTTTAGTCTTTTTATTTTTTCTCGGCAAAGAAAAAATGATTAATTAGTTACTGTTCGATGTAAGAATTTTTGATTTAGTGACTGATGGAGGCTCAACGAGTCGTTTGATTTCTTGAATTTATTGATTAGTAAATTGATTGATTTATGATTATCACTGCATGCAAAGGTTAAAGTTGAACGATGACTTGAGAAATGTTGCTTGGTGCATTAAAGTTTCTTAGTTATAAATCGTTCTCGGCAAAGAAAAAATGGTTTCACGAGCATTAATTAGTTACTGTTCGATGTAAGAATTAGCGGCTGATTGATTTAGTGACTGATGGAGGCTCAACGAGTCGTTTGATTTCTTGAATTTATTGATTAGTAAATTGATTGATTTATGATTATCTTGTACAGAGTCTGACGTTTCTTAAAGATGACATTACAAATGTTTACTCTGCTTTACAATAACGAAATAATGAAATACAACATATATAGAAATGAACTATGTAGACACAATCTGGTCGCCCAAAATATCTCTAGAGCTAAGGTTGTTTGGTGACCACGATTCATCAATCAAAGACGTACAACGTTGTCGGAGAATAAGCTTATCTCAGCAGAATTAGAATTATTACCTCAACTTACGCTTCCGATTAATTATGGGTACATCTACAATTAGGTAATACGTCAGATTATTACTTGCTCTTTAGCAGTTAGACTCACCTTCAGTGGAAGGACGTAGATTTGAAATAACATTGCTCATCATTTCTTTAGTGGAGTCAAATTCCATGGTCTTCATGGATTTTGAGGAGTCGAGCATAAAAATGATATCCAGGACAATCGGACATTCTAAAGACCAAAATAATTATAAAACGCGTTTATGGTGTCAGCGCATCCCACAAAGCTTTGCGGCCAACTGACCTGCTTATCGCACCTTCCACATTGCAAGCCCTAAAATTGTATCAGAATCCTAGTACGTGATTCGCTTTTCTGTCCCTAGTTTTCTTATTTACTGGTAAATCCGCAACTACCAGTGTCCAGATCTCGTCTTTGGTAAATTAACACAACGATATCAGCCTATTGATAACAATTGGACATTCTCATTGAGCAAGTCAGTAATTCAAGAAGAAACATGATAGAATTCTGAAAGCTCTTACTTGTGTTATCAACAGTTCAGTTTTGAAAAAGGGCCTAAAATTGTTGAGTCAAAATTATAATTGGTCTGACAGGAACGTTTTTATCACTCTCTTACCTTGAATGTGTGATGGTATAACAAGTGTAGCACCCTGCCGAAAGCAGAAATGAAACATTTGAGAATGTTAAATTAGAAAGTAAGTACTACAGTAAGAACTACATTAAATTGCAATTCAACTTCGCATTGGCAAGAACTGCATTCAGTTGCAATTCAACTTTGCATTATTGATATAACAGCAAAATAATTTTGCAGAATGCGAAATTTGAATCGCATTTTTTCGAAAAAGTAACAAAACTAAGCTAGCTTGCCTTATTAATAAACTTTTATTGAGGACAACAGACTCATAAAATGAAAACATTGAAATTGGAAAATGTGTGGATGAAACCCATTTTCATAGAGCCATTTGTAATTGACTCTTATCTCTCACCGCTCTGTTTGGCATTAACCACAAGCATTAGTCGTCATGGTAGTTTAAGCAACTGTTCTACTTGGCCTACGAGTTAAATGTGGCCCTACGTATAATTTTGGTTACGGCAGAAGTCTTTTTCTGAACAGCATGCTAAATATGATGCCAGCTGAATTCCAATAACGTAAAGCAATAAGAAAAGTACTTCGCGTGGCTACAGTTCCATTCCTTACAACTGCATAACCACTTTATGACCCGTTCTTCGGAGTCGTCGTTTAATTTGAGAAGGGTACATTTTAAGAGAGCCGGTCATGAATTTGACAGACGGAAATATTTCTAACCGTGGATGGTAACACAAAGATAACATTTACGTTACCAAACTTAAATTGTACGAGTATGCATTATTAGCCCGAGTTAGCTCTGAGAATACTTTTCGCATGATTTACTCATGAAAATAAAATGGCGGATCTGAACAGATATTCTTCGTATCCAAATCGAACAAATTCTCAATTACAACGCACTTTTGTAACATTTTCCTGCGTAAACACAAAGTACATCGCATTTCCCGTCTTTTTTCTTTAGTGTGCAGATGACGCACCCTTTGATTCAAAGTTTTCGAGAGCAAGCTAAGGGAACTAAACTGTAAGTTTGAATTACCAGTTATACCTACCCGAAAGAACCACAATACGACCCAAAACAGCGACAAATTAGCCATGGTCTTCCTTTCCAAAGGATTTGTGTTTGCCTAAAGGTGATGTACGGATTTCTTTGTTGAAAATTTATTTAGCTGCTCATAAGCGTGAAATGGAAACAATTTCATCCAAGTCATTTTTCAGCTGTTCTCTGAGAAAACAATAGAACATTTTTTGGTGGGAGATATTGCCAGTAGTTGCTGAGATGTCGCCTATTGTAATAAGCTGGTATTAACAGATTAAGATGGCAGAATTTTTAATTTTTACTTCTCTTTTTCCAAGTAGATTATTGCAGTAAGCAGATAAGCAGGAAATCTGGAAAGCAAGGTAATTTGATTTTACCAACTGAGTTGATTTTGTAAATTGGCCATCGGAAGGAGTTTTTTCGGTGGCAATTTAAATTATAAACTCAGTTGATGAAACAAAATCATCTTGTAATACTCTCCCCCAACATGGCACCACAGTTTCTATGGAAAGTTACCCCCTTTACACAATCCAGAATACAGCCGGGAAGAATAAAACGAGCGGCAAACAAGCACTCCCCGATGACAATGTTAATGGAAAATGAAAACCCAATGAAGAGAAGAGGGACACAAATACCAAAGAAGTTAGATTAAAAGTAGAAATGAATTCTTCTTTTAAAAAGACAAAGACTGTACAGCAGCTTTGAATGTCGGTAAAATAGAAGAGGTTCGAATGAGGAAATTTAGGATTAGTACAATAAACAATGGTTTTCGTTACTCAATATTTGTGCTTGGTAAACACCGGAAATTCTCTTTAAAATTGAATGAATTAGAGTAAATATGCACGTACTGGAGTTTCCGACAAATACGATCCTCGTCTTGCTCAGAAATAATGTAAACTTTTTGTTTTGTACAGTTAAGGATCATATTTTTAAGATCGCTTTCCGTTTGTCAGAACTATGGAAGAACGGGCCATGATGCCCGAAAATAAAACGAGATATATGAATTTCTTGACAAGTTTGTATCCAAACATACAAGCAGTATCGCAGATCTCATAAATTAGAAATGAAATGTATCGCGAGACCCGTTATTATGAAAGGGATATCGATAACTTCGTGCGACACGAAACAGTAGAGAAGGAAACCATTCAAAGTTTTATCAAGCACTGTGCGCGTGCGCTTTCTGTTCACACCTAATTGGTGGATGCGTAACCATTTGTTTGTTTCGTTGTCGTGCACTAATGGTTGCCCTGCTAACCCTTACCATGAAGTGGCATCGTTTGAAAACTTTCCTTTCAAAGGAAAAGCCGAAGAGAGAAAGAAGAAAAAGGTCTAGTAAAATTATCATTTAAATTTAAGAGTGACTGCCATCAAATTTGATTTCTTGCGGAATCTCTTATATACTTTGTCTTAACAGGAAAGATTTAGAACATGAGCTTTGTAAAAGAATCAAAACAATCAACGAATATGAAGAGGAATTGTTGCAAGGCTGGTGAGTAAATATCTGCTTTGTTTTTCTTTCTTTTTTTCATGAAAATAACGATCTATGTATTTTGTCGTGAAATTTTTCCACGCAAAAATTGATTTCTCAGATTTATTATCAATTTGATTGGTATTAAGTGAGTTGTAATTTCGTTACCGTTAAAGTACAGAGTTAACGTTACAATTAAAAGTAGCATGCAATAGGGAGCGGCATAGGATGATAAAATTAGTTCTGCGAACAGTAATGTATTAAATTAGATATTTCCAGGGATTTTAAGCGCGCAAGAACTTAGCAGCATGATTGTCAAGTAAAGTCATGTTTGATAGGCAATTAGTGCCCAGGAATCGTTGTAGAACGTGAGTAAGTCTTAAATCCCACACGGAATTACGTATCTGGGTGTAGATTTCTCTAGCTAATAAATGTAACATTTTTTGTAACCCTAGGATTAGATCGTAATAGAATAGATAGATAGCAGAACGGAACGAGTAGTGCTGAATTGTCGACAAAAAAGCCCGATTCAAGTAAAAGTATACTGTCCAAGATTACTGAACCAGCGTGTGCGGAATTCTCAGTAACGCAAGTGGGAAATTCTGCGAAACCCTGCTTTGTTTGTTCTATGTGTTTTCCTTTGATTATTACGAAATAATTCAAGCATGAGTTCCCTAGAGAGAGGTCGTACCTTCAAACCTTTTGGCTAAGATACTACGCACTTTAAGAAATCAATATCCAGAGAAACAGAAACAATAAAACAATTCACGTTGGGCATTATACCTTTTTTTAACCAAATTTTTGTGATTCTAGGAATACTTTGGAGGAAACTGATTCAAGAAATGAAAGAAAAACTCAGTTATGGCTAGCGGTTAAAGAGCGCCACGATAAAGCCACAAGAGATAAACAAATATTGATGGATGAAATTGAACGGTTGGAGAGTGAACTGAAGAGAGCACTGAAAAAGCGGATGGAATCCTTAAGAGAACAGATGTGAGTGAAACAAGAAAAAACGATTTCAAATCTTTAGGTACAAGCTGGGTGCGGTTTAAGCAATTTGTTGGGCTATTGTTCATGTCCGCGTCTCGATGATGATGAAGCTTATAGTTTTGTGGGAGTTAAAAAATGCTCACTATAAAACAAGCGCTACAAATTTGGGAGCTTTAAGGAACAACTCAGCAAGAACCTCAGATGGTTTGATTTTTACGTTAAATGAGCTATTAATTGCCTTTTCTGACAGAGTAATGGCCACAATGGAGGACACTTACATGTGATCTAAATATAATCGAACGCTTTTCCCTCTCTCCCCCAAACAACGTTGAATATTAGGCGCTTTGTAAACTTTATTAAGGTGTGGTAGGTGTTTGATTTTACCAACACGGGGAGGATCTAAGATCTGAAATGGCAAAAGAGTGGTCTTTTTAAATATATTTCGATAAGGATATATTTCAAAAACTGTCCCAAGGAGTTTTGGCCTCCGTTGTAGCTTTTAAATCTCTATAATCACTGGAACCAGGAGTCGATCGGGCTCCTGCCGGAACTCAACACCAGAGGAGCCTAATGAGACCAGTGAGAAGTCTTAATTACTTTTTCTGATTTAATTTTTTCCCTAAGAATTCGTCGAAAGGCGCGGAGCGTTCCTCAGCAAAAAGACTGTTGACAATAAGTAAATATTTGTAACCACTGAATAACCATTCATGGCAATTCCTGAGAACTTATATAATTATAAAATTTGATTTTTACAGCCAGGTGACATGGCGGGTACTACAGCTAACGAAGAAAAAAGCAGCTATTGAGCGGAAAAGCGTGATGATTCTGGACATGAAGGCTTGCCATGACCGGCAAGGAGAGAAACAAGAAAGGCGTGTAAACCTGCGCCGCACGCGTTCACAAAGTGACATACCAAGAAATGCATTATGCAATAGGTTATGAAAAATTTGGCTAAAATGCTGAGATCTTTAAATCTAGTAGTATAAAAATTCTTTTTCCATTTAACTGAAAACAAAACAGATAAAAATAATACTGCTAATGCTTCAAATACTTTTCATAAAGAATCTACTTTTAAATTACGCCCGGAACGAAAATATATAAAAAAAACTTATTCTTCGTTGCTTTTCAATTGATTTTCTGACGTTATCAATATTCTGTACTGGAATGTCATATTGGATGGAATCTGAATAAAATCGATGTAAGGCCTCTATCATTTAATGAACATTACCTTAAAAATTCCGTAAGATGAAGAGTTTTAAGTCAGATGTAAACCAAATTAAAAGCAATCAAAGATTTTAAACAGGGTAAAGGAAACACAAGAAGGAACTCTGAACTTTGACATTGGGCGTACTGAATAAAGCATAGGAGCTAGGGAGAGAGGCGAGTGATTAAGTTGATATTGCATCTAATTGGTTAAGAAGGTGTCGAGAATCTTTGGACCACACAGAGATCCTACTGACGCAAAAGCAAAATCCTGGCGCTTCTTCCGACATTCGATCGGAAACTACTTCATAAGGAATACAAATCAGTCGTCGCTGTCCGGTTTACACCTAATAACCACAAACGTAATTGGTTTAATTTATGATAGTCTCATTAAGAAATGAGTGACTCAGACACCTTCTTTCAACTAGATTCCTTCAACGGTTTTCTAATCCGCGATGTCTTCGGTTTCTCTTCTTCTGTCTCCTAAAGCACGTGTTTATAATGGAGAAGTACTATACATCATACAGGATTACAGGATACATCAATATGTTTATCTAGCCAGCCCAAGCCCATCCGCTCCAAGTTGTGGACTTGCAAACAATTTTAAAAAATTTCGTACAATTCCGTGTCTCATACTTTACCACTTACACAATGTCTGATCATCATGTCATCATGTGTAGCACCTTTCCACAAACCTAAAGCCATGTGGTTTGTTAAGCCATTCAGATGGGGTGTAATGAGATAGAAACAGTTGTCCTTGGCTTAACATTAACTTGTTTCTCTTTTTTATTTCATTTTCTGATTATGAAGATCATATCCATTACTTTCTGTACCTTGCAGTAATAATTTTCACCATTGCATCATTTCTCCATCGCATAGTAGTTTGATTTTTTCTGGAATGAGCGTTTTCTTTTTAAGGGAGGAAAGGGGGTCTTTTTTGAAAAAATACATTGATACATTGGTAAGACTATAGTAAGGTACATTTTTCGGAAATAGCCATTCACCCACGCATCACAATGGTTACTTGAGAAACTTATCAGAGTCTGTAAGACCTTAATGATCGAGGCAATACAGACGGCCAATCGCCTCGTTCTGCAGCTTTAAAATCCAGGACTGAAATTGTAAATAGAAGAGTACATAACAAACAAATTAATTCATAAAAACACGTCGGAAATTATCATTGCAGATGAAAAATAAAGTTAAGTGCAGTTTCCGGTTATACAAAGCATGAAAGAGGCAATATCAGCTGGGTACGCGATAATATTGATATTTTAAGTTTAAGAAAAGTCGATTCTTTGTGTGATGAAACTGATCGTGGAAGGTGGCTTGTTCCAGGTAAAACGAAAGTAAACAAATTGTGGGCGCGATGGTAGTAGCTGTGTGGAAAAACGAGGGGCCCAACCCAAACCTGCTTTTTTATGGTTTCATTTTTTTTTTTTCTTATGTTTATTTTTTATTTTATTTTATTTTTTGCTCCACTGTTGCTACGCACCGTTCGTTTATTTCGCCGGCTAGTGGAACGCTAATAGAACATTGAATAATGGAAAATCAGAAGTGAAGAGGACAAATTAATTTGCATGCAGCGTCGATATCACCACTCTCATAAAGCAATCTTTGAACTCAGAGAAGAGCCTGGTGATGACATCTGTATCGCACATAAAGTGGTTGTCATTCATGGGAGGAAACCGCTGTAATCTTTAGCGAGAGTCTCGTTCCCGCTTGGCTGCCAACATTCCTGTTTGAACTGTTGTGTAAAGGAGTTTCTTCGTCGTTCTTAGAAAGGAGAGCCATACCTTCGCAAGACAAATGCAGCCTTTCCTGATAGACTAATTAAGGCAAATTATCAAGTGGAAAACTACACAGCACGTTATTTTGACACGTGACCCTCTCCTTTGCTCAGAAGTTTCGAGGAAAGTCAGCTGGGTCGGCGATTCCGGGAAATTCTTGCAGTGGTTTTCTACATATAAGAATTCACTAATTTGTCGATAGAATTTCTCATAGACTGCAATGTGGTGGGATGACGACGATTACTATTCCATACCGTATTCCTTCGGTTCAAATGATGATATGGACGATGATAGCGACGATCATTACACCTTTGACGACGATTACTATTACAGTAGCGGCGAAGATTATTCCGATGTTATTTCTCGACGGATGAGATCAAAAAGTGATGATGTAGAAGATATTACAGAAATCGAAGCCTCCACGCCGAGTTACCAAGTTTCTTCTCTGCAAGACTTGTGTTGTCGGTTTATTTCACGGAGATTTCCGTTCGCTTTCATCGAGCATCGATCTCCCCCGATTCCGGACCAGCTTCAGCTGAAAATCATCCAGTTTTCATTCCCCGAAGACGAAGATATGATACGGAAGTATGCCGAGTTTAGTCGCAGCAGTGTTGACTTCTCTGCAGCGAGAAGGCTGGTCGAAAATGGAACTGTGAAAGATGTGAATCAGATAGGTAGGTGAAATGATTACATGAAAGTATTGTATAAACATCACGTCCACCACTGATACTCTTATTAAAGTGTGAACGTTATAACAAAGCCCACCGTTTTAAAGCCCCTTCCTCCCCCCCCCCCCTACAACTGTCAAAAGTGTCTGATTTCTAGAGCCCTTGCACCTTCCCCCTTCCCTTCCTGATAAGTCCTCTCTTCCCTCCTCAAAGAATAAGTTCTTTTGTGGTATTTTTATTTATCTATGTTACACATAACTCTTTTTACACCCTAATATCAGTATACATATTCTCCATACCCTTCTGTATACATTTCCTTTGGTACTGGCAAGGAGAGTTGGGTTAACAATTAAAGCTTCTTAGGTTGGCAATCATTTCCTTTATTCTCATGATCAAGATAAAATGACTCAGCAGTTTTACTGTAAGGAGAATTAGATGCTGGCTTCTCCTGGGGTTTAAGGGAATTAGAAGCATTTCAGTTCAAGGTATATCTGTATTTGAAAGCTTTCATTAGTTCCTGTCATGAATAAGGTTCTTTCAACCAAAATAAAAATGCACACTGGATATGGCAGTCATTAACTTAGGGTAATTCAGAAGGAACACAATCCACATTTGACCGGTTTTAAGTTTTTATTGAGCCACTGCTCAGAAAGAAGCTATCCTCTCCTATAAGCTCCTTAACCAGAAGCCTGTTCTGGGAAGCATAGTAGGTTACAGTGACAATGAAGCTAGGATTGATTTTGTTTTGCATGCAAATTTTTAGAAAATTCATGCTTCATATTTACTCTAAACAGCATTTTATTCATCATAAAATCAAAAGGGAAAACTTTTTAGAATCTCCCTTCATGTGTGTGAGGTGTCAGGGAATTCTTGAGGTTTTTGAAAGGAAATTAAAGAAAAATTTCATTTGTCAGTTATATTTCAGGAGGCATCATCATGCCTCATTCTGATTCATAAATTCATGAATTGTGCGTGCCTTTCTGCAAAATTCACAAATCTCATGAAAATTTTGGCCTTAAGCACAAATTACATATAGACCCTTTGCCAAACTCTCTGCAAGAAGATCTCATTAACATAGGGAAAACAAAAGTATCTTTAAGTTATATTATTTTCTTCTCTATGTACAACCTTCTAGTATACATGTATGCTATTTACAAAGAGATTCAATCTACTTTGAATTTTCTTAGGTTTTCGTCTAAGCGCAACTGTTGGTGATCGAAGGACATATCCTCGCCGAGGAAATAGCAATAAGAGCTACGTTACTATTCAGTTTGACCGTGGGAAAATTACCTCTGCTCACTGTTCTTGTGAGCTGTCCACAAACTGGTGTGTGCATGTTGTTGCAACATGTTTGGAAAGAATCAAGAATAAAGACAAAATTTCTATTCACATGCCAATCTCTGACTCACTCAATTTGTTGGACAGAGAACAGTTGTTAAAGTTTGCACAGTACCTGCTAAGTGAACACCAACATGAACCTGTTGTAGAAACAGCCCAGCAACTGCTCAACAGACTTTTGTCTCGTCAACAACAGGACAAGCCAGATGACATTAATTTGATTGCTGGTGCTCCTGATCCAACTGCTGGACCAGGTAATGCACAAGATAATGTACAATAAATGTTATCGCAGTAGACACTTTAGTGGCAGATCCAGGGGGGCTAGACCCTCCCCCTCCAAATATATAGATTTAGCCAAGCCTAAAAGTGGAGCTTGCACTTTTTTTTCCCACATGTCTCAAGGGCACAATGCCTTGCTCTGGCCAGGACTAGAACCCGGGTTGTCCGACTTGGAGCCCAGTGCACTGACCATTGGACTACTGAACAAAGCCCGCGGCATGCCCGCGGTACAGTTGACCGCACATGTTAAAAGTAGCACCTTGTACAGTCGTACAGTCATATGGTTGTACATTCAAATTTTTTTTTGGCTTGATGGGTTACTACTATTTTGTATAATTATGGGGCTATGCTTTGCGAGCTCTACTATCAGACCTGTATTTTACTTGTTGTCTAAGCTCAAGGGCAGAACCACTTATCACTACTCAACTTGAAGTGTTTCACTTATTTTGAGATCTCTTAAAATCGTTTAGGCTCTAGTGTAAAAAAAAATTCTAAGTCATCTTGATCAAATTGTGGACCCAACTCAGGAAACAAAAGTTCTTGGATCTCCCCCTGTTCTTTATACAGTTTATGGCCATTTTTACATGTGGCAAGAGAAACCCATAGTTGTACTTAAAAACATTTTTCAATTGAAGGGCTTGACTCCGAAATGTCTATTACAGTGCTG